TCTTTTCCAAAAAAAGAAACGGCTCACGTTCTGATTATCACTCGAAATTTCTCTCGTTACGTGAAGACTTCCTGAAATGCTTTGTGGCATAGAAAAGACACGGAGTCTAGCGGAAAAAAAGTTTGCGCTGAATAGTGCACTGAGATTGGGATTTGTGGCAAGCGTTGGGAAAACTGTGGTAATGAATATAAGCATTTATCTTATTTTGCTGGATTACTACCATGACGTAATTTTCCTTCAGCCGTCCGAACACACAATCACGGATTACGTGCTTATTTCAATTTTCAATCGGCAACTAGTAAAATTCATGGCTTGATGTCGAGAAAATGCATGCTCAGCTACACTACTGGACAATGAAATATCATATTTGAAAAAAGATCGCCACTTTCGCGCGTCTGTAACTCCCTTGTCTTTACCGTATTTCTAAATATTATTATTACCATTGTGTAGCCCTTGAAAAGAGCTTTCAGAAAATGTATAACACTAATAGTTTAAACTCAAAGACAAGGGGGTTACAGATGCGCGAAAGTGACGATCGTTTTTCAAATATCATATTTCATTGTCCAGTACTGTATATGAAAATAGATATTTACACTACACTACACTACACTTTTCATTTCATTGTCCAGTACTGTACCTTTCACTTTTTCCATAAAATTGCGCTCCTTTAAACCTAAATCAAAAAAGTAAATTTAAAGATTTAATTAACATGATATTCAAACATTCACTAAATGTATAATTGATAAAAATAAATCGAGAAAATTGTAGAAGCTGTTAAAAGCTAGCCTATGATCGTGTAAATCTATCTAACGCTTAACCAGCACAAATCAGCAAGTAAGCCAAAAAAAAGTGGAGCAGAAGGTCTAGAAAAACTTACACGGATTTTTTGTACACCCTAGTATTTTTTTAGAATAAGTGAAAGGTAACTGAGCATGAATTTGACTAATTGCCTTTTCAATCGAGTTCTTATAGTTCCATGTTGATTTCAACAACCATTGTTTACGTATTTACTTCTAGAAGATTTCGTAATCTCTTCCATTTTTAATCTCTTCTTATAGACGCAACAGGGCACACATGAACCTGTTCAACAGCCAGAAAAACATACGTCAAAACATCCGAGCTTAGAGTTTTTGCGGAAAAGGAAACAATACTGATATTTAAGGAAAGAGATTTCTTTTCTAGAAACAAAGATTACTGTACTCGAGAGTCCAACAGATAATCCCCATATTCTCTTTCGAATTTTGTGACGCGATTTCCGGGATTTCTCCCCACAATTTCTCGAGAGACCAAAAAGGGGAATTTCGTCCAATTTTTCCATTTTAGTTCATCCAAATACAAAATTTTTTGCGATATATCCGGTCGCTTTTCATTTCTTTTAAACTTCCTCTTTCCTTCACGATTTATAAGAGATTCAAGATTTCAAAACTGATACAGTTAACTCGACATTTTTGATAAGTTGCTGCCTTTGGAGCGGCTCATCGTCTCATTTTTCGCGAACTTCTTATTTCAAAAGAAAGCCCAAGTGTAAACAGTGATCTTTGGAAAGGGACAAGGCAATGAAAGGTTCACTAGCCGATAAATGAATTACAAAAACGGCTTCTAAATTTCAGTTAGCAAAGCGTTTCATAAAAAAATAGGCAGCCTTTTTTTTGATTGTTTACGTAAAACTATTTATTTGTTTTTTATCTTTTTGTTATCTTAAAGAGTTCAACTTCAAAAAGGCTATTGCCGTGTTGTTTTATGAGGTAAGCCGTTATTGATTTGAAACTGGCTTTAAGTTTCAAAAATAAACGTTCAATATATCTCTTTAAGATAACAAAATTGTGTTTCATATTTTTTTTGTTTGTTTGTATCATAAACACAGACATTTTTCCCATCCCTGTTTATTTTGTTCAAAAATGTGATCAGAAGTTCGCATAAGGCTTTCTTTTGATCAAAGTATCGTAGAACGTGGTCACATGAAATTCATAAAAAGAAAAAGAAGCAAAATTTCGTGTCTTCATGCAATTCATCGCTCTTTCACTTCTCTTTTCAACTTCCGCTCGACAGAAATGGAAACCGTTTTTTAAAGTCGTTACCCCCTCTCGGAACAATTTGATAAGCAGCTCTCAAAAAAAAACTTTGGAAGCACAAATCATTCCGAACATGTCAACATGTCTTTCTTTTTTCCTCTTTCATCTCATTTTTTGAGCCGACAGAAAACATGGGCACTGTCATAAACCTTTCCCTCTCCTCTACATTCCCTCTCCTCTCTATTCCCTCTCCTCTCCACTCCTTCCTTCAGACAATGACTGTAAAATTTTATATCGAGATAGTTCGCAAGTTCAGCTCAGTTTTTGCAAATTATACCATTTCTTTATTTTGAAACCCTTTTGAAGTTAAAAATTACGCAAGAAAATGAGCTTTAACTTTGAGCCTAGAATGACCGGAATTCTTTTCTAGTTCTTTGTTTGTTTAATAGATAATTATTCTTTATCTTTCGCTGTTTATTGTGAAAGTTTTTGATGTTAGATTGCTGATCTAGATTCTTTGAATGACTTGTGCACAAATGCAAACGTCACCGGGTTTTACCTTTTCAAACTACGACCACGGTTAAGAAGTATTTTTAGGCTTTTGATTAAAATTTTTAAACCACAAGTAGAGATTCTATTTTAAAAATAAGCCTATTCTAATCATTTACGAAATCTGATAGAAATGAAGATAAGGTGACGTCAAAAGCGGGATAAAAAGGAAAGTGGGATAAAAATAGGCCTGGGTCTCTGATGGGGATGGGGTATTGTCGTCTTTTGGTAAACGAGATAAATATCATTCTTTTTGTGCGTGGAGATTACTTGCCCATGTTACCATACTCGGATTTGATGACTACACTACGAGATGAAAAATAAGAACAAGAAGAAGGGTATTTCCACAGTGTTCTCTTCTCATCCTCAATCTCATCTCATTCTCTTGAAAATTGAAGATGAAATTTTCCCGATTTACTGCAAGCTTTTCATTGAGTTTTAATTCAGAGAATTACTCAAGATTTCATTTCATTTGGGATCTTTCTTGATTGAACAAATAAGCAAAGATGCTATCAGGTTGGCAACTAAATAATGGCCCTTTTCAGTAAAAACAAAAAATTTATTAACAAGATGAACAAATATCAACATCAATCCAAAAGGTATTCTCCGTCATTCTTTATTACTTCTTTCCACTTTTGACGGAGCAACTGGATTCCTCTCTTGAAAAATTCTTCTGGTTGATCGTCAAAGAACTTGTGCTCTGAAATTCGGACTTCGTCAAGGTCATTGAACTTTTTCTCGGCTAGAAAGTGTTGCATCGATCGAAAAAGATGGTAATCACTAGGCCCCATATCCGGGCTGTATGGCGCATGAGGAAGAACATTCCAGCCCAACTCCTCGATTTTCTCCATTGTAAGTTTTGCCGTGTGTGGTTTTGCGTTATCATGGAGAAAATGAATTGAAGAGGGTTCGAGTCCTTGAGAGCGAATTGCTTGATCTACACGATGTAGTTGAGACGAATAGAGTTCTGAATTAACCGTTTGCCGGCTTTTGAGAACCTCGAAATGCACCAATCCACGAGAACTCCACCACACACAGAGGAGAGTTTTCTTTGAGTGAATATCCGGCTTCGGAGTTGGTTTTGGGTCTTTGTTTGTGCTAAGCCACTGTAGTTTTCGCGTTCGATTATCATAAAAGATCCATTTTTCATTAGAAGTGACAATGGAATCCAAGAAGCTTCCCTTTTTCGCAAGTTTTAGTAGTATTCCAGCTGTGATAACACGAGTAGCCTTATTTTCTTCGCTCAATTCATGCGGAATCCACTTTCCACTGCGGTTACTTTTCCCCAATGCATGAAGTCGCTTTTCGATTGCAGTATGCGAAAAGCCCAATCGATCCCCTAGCTCGCGTGATGTTTGACTTGGATCCTCCTTTGAAGCTGCTTCCAAAATATCGTTCTGCAGAAGTTCGGGTCGTCCTTGGCGAGGCTCATCTTCAAGACTTTCATCCCCTTCCTTGAACCGTCGATACCATCTCTTACATTGTGTTTCGGAAAGAGCTTCATCACCAAAAACTCGCAATAAATCTCTGTGGGATTCGGCAGCTGTTTTGTCTTGTTTGTAGTCGTACTAGAGACAGACACGCATTCGATATTTGAGATCTTCCATTTCTAAACAAAATTATTTGAAAAGTATCAAATCAAGGAAAGTAAAAAACGTATAATAATGCACCAGAAATTCAGTAATATTCAATTAACAACAAGCGAGGGTAGATTAAACGCAAAGATTAAAAGATTTTATCAAAAAAGGGCGAGGGCCATTATTTAGTTGCCAACCTAATAGATGTAAGTGACTTTAGTGGTCTTTACCGGACTGTTCACTGCTTAACAGTGTTTGCACAATGCTTTCTCTTAATGTGAAGATCTCAATCTCATCCAAATTTCCCTATTGCTTTTTATCACTTTTGGTTCAAATCATTCTCCAAATGTACCAAATGAATATTTCTCGTTATTTTTGACTCCTTCCCCGTGCCCTTTTCAGAGTTCAAAAACCCAACGTCTTTCCCATTTTTCATCACGAATCCACTCGAATATTCTATCATATTTACTCGTTATATTGACATTCTGAGCTTTCAAGAAATCTATCATCTTCTGCTTCGGAGTAATTCTAATGTCTGATAGTTTTCTGAGATTTTCTGACCACATCATTACTAAAAGTTATCATTTGCAAGTTTTTCGAGTAAAATTCTAAAACTTGCATTTAAAGCTTCGATTTATCAAGGGTTTTTGCGATATCAAAGCGGAGCCGGTATTACACTCTAATCTATTGAAAATCATCAAACAGACGGAGTCGAGGGATTGCATTGTGATTGTGATAACTCGCCGAGGAAACTCATTTCTAGGTTTCGCAAAAATATTTCTTACAATCAATTGAATAGCCTCGTGATTCCTTCTTGTTTTCTTTCTTTCGATCATAGAGTTTCGAATTTCCCCTCTTTTAGATGGTGGCCCCAATACAAGCACAGCAACTTCAGCACAAATTGCCAGTGATTGCAATGGAAGAAGGTGGTCCATGTTACATTGATGGGATGATGAGTGCACCCCATCCGTCACTCCATGCCTCACCCCTTCCTTCTCCATCTCCGGTTTCATCTCCTCTTCCATACCGAAGTCTCCACGTATCACAAACATCAGTGACTTCACTTGATCCAAATGCACTTTGTGATCCGATTGCCTCATCGGTTCGTTTTAAAAATATGTAAATGAAAAAGATAGAAAATGAAATAGCCTAACCGTGTCAATCCTTGCCATTAAAAGTTAGTTCCTTTTTCGGACTTTTACTCAAGAAGTTATTACAAAAGAATACTAAAGATTGCATTAACAAATGAATAATTCTAGTTCGAATAAACAATAAATTCTATAGTTCATTATAAATCAATTTTCAGGCCTCATCCACTCCGAAATCAACTCCATCAAAAAGTGTCCGTTTCTCCTTCACTTCACCCACCATCATTCCCATCCAATGTGATGATCCATCAAATGGTTCGTGACAAAACTCTCGGCAAATTTCGACTAATCTTAAAGTACAATGAAATAAACAATCAAAAATAAACGTATTTCCTAATTTTTGTATTTTCAGGACCCAGATGGGCCACCCATTCCTCTTGCAAGAAGCCGAATCACCGCTGCGCCCGTCTCTCTTCTCTTTTTCTTCTCTGTTTCACTTTTCTTGGTTTTGTCGCAATTCTATCTATTCATTTCATAAATTAATAGGATGTTCAAATATTTGTATCCAATTGATCTCAAAGATCTCCATTTCCGTGTCTTGTTGCCCTTCTGATGAAACGGGTTGATTTGCTTGCTGTGTAAATAAAATATTGTGAGATTGTGGGTTTATGAAGAGAAAGGATTGGGGCTTTGAAAAAGTGGGAAACAAAGGAGATCGATCGTCACACGAAAGTGTTATTGTCTTGCACTTGTTCTCAACAATGATGTTTTTAAGAACAATAAGTTAAAACAAAGTCAGCTGAGATTAAAATTTTGTAAACGTGCGTCTAGGTGACGAAGAACAAAAAGAAACCAATGGTTTCTTAGATTAAAATTATTTCGAGAAGGCCTAGAGTGTTTTTGATCGAAATAGAATATACCTACAATGGAAATGATTCAATTGTCATAACAAGACTCGGGAATTTGTTGACTCATCGATGGAATTTCAGTCGATCAAAAAAGTGAATCAATCTCCTTTCAATCACACGCAAATTGTCGCTCTCGATAATCTCATCATCAAACCGGACACTCGTTATTTTTGGCTCAGTCATACACAAAAACCCATCAAATACTGAGGTTATTGATACTCAATGGAGGCTTGCCATTAATCTTACTCTCCTCGAAACAATTTTCATTTGAATTTCAACATCCATTGATCTAGGTACCTTCAATTTTGTAATTCTTCTAACAATAAGTAAAACTTGTTCTATGCACAATGTACCCTTTTTTGAATTACCAAGATCGTTGGCCTAAAGATCTAAGATCATCATTCGCTCAAGTAAAGTGTTTATCCCAATTCCAAGTACTCAACGTCAGCCTCTCAAAAATAATGTCATTTCTTCGTATCTCATTCTGATCTCCGGTGCAAATTTTGGTTATTTGAGCATTTTCTGGGTAGATACGGAAAAGATTCTGCTTTTAGCGTTAATCCATAGGAAATGAAAGTTTTTATGCGTTTTTTTGGGATAAAATGAAAGGATAAAGGATTTGACGCCCCCACAAGAAAAAGAATGGCATTTCAATCTAATTCCCTAGGCTTGAAAGGGATTCAAACAATGAAAAGAAAAAGATAGTTATCTAATTTTAAATATGAAGATTTGCAGTACTATAAAGTTTTTTTATTCCAGAGATCCCAGAGCTGACCTATCTCGAGCTTTCTACTATGCATAACTTTAAATCAAGAAGTCATTATTGTCTTGGCTCTGATGCTTTAGCACTCTAATCTTTCATAGTTTAAGTCTTAAGCTTTGAATTCAAAATTTTCGAGTTTATTGTGGCTTGTACTTGTTTTCTCAGCTATTTTTGGATATTTTCAGGAGATTGACTAAGCTGTAGAAGAAGATGCAAAGATTCCTTCTAATCCTCATTTCTCTCGGATTCGCTCTCATTTTTGCCGTAAGTCTTGAAAATTTTGAGATTTCCACACAGAAAATAAAAATCATTTGTATTATTTAATTACTTTAGAAGCCGCACATCACTGATGAACAAAAGCAAAAATTCGCGAGTCACGTCAAAGCGAATGATAGTCAGTGATTTGGGAGAAGTTATCAAAGGGTTTTCAGATACATTTTGAGATTTCCACTTTGAGATTTAAGATATTTATTCAAAGTAACAGCTTGAATACCGACCGTGTCGATCTTCATCAGTTCAGAAGCTATTAGGTTGATGCAAAAGTCTTTTTCATTTTTTTCGTACTTCTTTTGAAAAATAACAAAGTCATCAATTAACCTATGGTTTGCTCTAAATGAAAAGTGTTTATTGTTCAATTTCCCATCTTTTTAAGTCAATTTGGGTTCACTTTCAAGCAAATTCGAGAGTGAAAACGGGTTTTTCATAAAAATCTATAAAAACCTCTATAAAGAAATTGGCTGAATCAATTTCTCTGAAAATCTGAAAAAATATCTAACTTTTTGTGCTCTATCTTTTATTTATTAACATCAAGATTGGTTTCCTTAGCTAAAGCGTCTAAAATGCATCATCGAGCCGTCGCCTTTTTTGACTACCCGACTTCAGGCTCTCAAAAAAATCTAGACATAAGACATTTTAAACTCGTTTTAATGTCATTTTGCAGAAAAATAATTGGCCTTTCGAATGCAATAAACCGTTGTTCAATTGGTGCATTTGTTACTTTTTAACCGAAGTACGAAAAAAATGAAAAAGACTTTTGCATCAACCTAGTAATAAGGGAAAAATTAAACATTTATTACCACATTACTGAAAGCTAGATAGCTAGAGAAATATCTCACGTTTGCGAAGCGTTCTGCAAAAACTAAAAATGGATTCGAGATCCCTATGGTCGACTCTGCAAGATGAACTTGGTCTCAAAAAAAGACCAGCAATGCCTTTCCCTAGTGACCAACTCTTTTCAGGCAATATGTTCTTCGTTGCTTTCAATCCCGATGACGATGACACACAAGGAGGAATGAGAAATGTGCAAAAACGATCGGCTGAAAGTGAGTTGGGGATACCATCAGTACAAAGTGAAATCAAGCATATTTATTTCTAAATATTTTTAAGAAAACGACCAAGGCACACAAACGGATCATTCAGCCGATACTGATGACAATGATAAAGACGGTGACGCAGTGGACACTAAAACGGCAGTGGAAACTCAACAAAAGAAACCAAAGAGAGATACACAACAAGTAAGTAAAATAAATAAAGTTTCTGTAAGCTGATCTCTATTTCATCAAAATTTCAGTCTTCAAATGACACCAAAAAAGATGCACAAGATGATCAGAAAAGTCACCACGACGATTCTCCTCATCATCAAGAAGAGGAATATGAAGAGTTCTGAATATTGAATAAAGCTATCGAAGCGAATTGAATAAAGCTATTGAAATAAGTTGTATTATTTCTCGCGATGGCTTCAAATCTCTTACATTTAGATTCGAGACCTCAGAACTTATCAGATTCAGATTTGTCATCTTCACATCATAAAGAATAGTGAGTACAAATGTAGCGAGAAAGCTTATGCAAAAGTTTTAAACTATAACAGAAACACTTCAAGTATTGTATTTTGCCCACGTATTGTATTTTTGTGCCTAACCTTGTACTCAAGAAATACACGAAAATCGATTTTTAAAAAGAGAAAAGGCAAACTGATAACTGGAAAGAAAGAAAAAAGAGAAATCGGGGTAAAAAAGGGAAAAAAATTGGTTGAAAGGGCAAAGATTTAGATAGTTTCGTCTTTCTGAAACTGATAATTTGGCTTTGACCAATCTCGTTGAGTTGTGTAATTCATTTTATTGAGACTTCAAAAAATGAGCGACACCGTTGGAAAGGTCGGTTTTTCAAATCTAATTGTAAACTGTTTGATACTCTTTACTTTCCTGTCAATGCACGAATTCAACTTGTTCTAGCTTTACAACAATTTCAGGTGATTCGATGTCGAGCGGCAATACTATGGGAGCTAAAGTCGAAGATGAAAATCGAGGAGATTGAAGTGGCCGTCCCTGTGAAAGATCAAATTAGGGTCAAGGTACTGGACTTGCATGCTTTTGAAGGGAAAATCAAATTAAACAGTAGACAAATAGTTCTTGTTCTTATAGTTAACAACAAACGCAACAACATCTGTGACTTTCAGATCATTTACAATGCACTTTGTCACTCGGATCTTCATGTTATTGACGGATCACTAAAAAGTATTTTTTTTGTTATTTTTGGCAAAAGAATCCTAGCAAGACTGCCGATTATATTGGGTCATGAAGCGACCGGAATTGTGGAAAGTGTTGGCGATGAAGTGAAGGCATTCAAAACAGGTTTATACTTCTACTATGTATAAAAGAGCAGTGTCTATCCGGACTTTTTCTCAGCCAGAAAAACCCGTCTTGAAGCAGATTTTTTGGCTGGTTTTAGATATTACACAAAACGTAGTCAAAGGATCACCAGATTATTTAACTTTTCATTTTTTAGGTGATGTTGTGATTCCGCTCTATCAACCCCAATGTCGTAAATGTGCAGCTTGTCAACACGGCGACACAAATCTTTGCACATCACTCAGGTGAGCTGAAAACCTTGTTTTACAAAATCCAGATACCATTTTCAGTTTTTCAAATGAAGGTTCTCATTTTACCTGCAGAGGAAAGCAGGTAAAATATTGTTATATTCAATTGGATCTTATTAGGTTGGCAAGTTATAAACGATCGTTTTTTGGTAATGTGTTTTCTGAAAAAACGGCTTATCCAATCAAAAAACGGTTTGCTTAATTCAAAAGCTTTATCCTTAATCTACAAAAGGGCTTTTTGAATTTTTGAAAAATCTTTTATTTTAGAACTTTCTCAGGCATTTTAATGTAAGAGTTGAAAATCCTGGTTTCTAGCATTCATGAGCTAATATATTTTTGAGTGATTGCATACTTTTTAAAATAAAGCGCTTCATCGATTGCATAGTTTCCCAAAATTTCAGAACAATCCAATCGATCGAACCGTTCTCTTTCTTTTAATTTTTTTAAAATCTTGCTTAAATTTAAAAGAAAATGGATTAAATTAGCACAAGAGTGCATTTTGAGCCCAATTTGAAAATCAACCTTCCGAAGATTGGATTGTTCTGAAATTTTGGGAAACTATGCAATCGATGAAGCGCTTTATTTTAAAAAGTATGCAATCACTCAAAAATATATTAGCTCATGAATGCTAGAAACCAGGATTTTCAACTCTTACATTAAAATGCCTGAAAAAGTTCTAAAATAAAACATTTTTCAAAAATTCAAAAAGCCCTTTTGTAGATTAAGGATAAGGCTTTTGAATTAAGCAAACCGTTTTTTGATTGGATAAGCCGTTTTTTCAGAAAACACATTACCAAAAAACGATCGTTTATAACTTGCCAACCTAATACAATTTCAGCCTATAAAACTTGTCAATTTTTTACTGTACTGTAAAAAAACAAAACAAAACCGAGAATTTTTTTCCTACAATTTAGGTGTTTCCCTTTATGGGTCTGGGCACATTCAGTGAGTACGCTGTGATCAGAGAGCACATGCTTGTCAAGGTTTCAAACGAAGAATGATACATGGGAATAAATATTGGTTTAGATTGATCCGCGTGCCCCATTGGATAAGGCTTGTCTTGCTGGGTGTGGTCTCGCAACAGGATATGGGGCTGCTGTCAATACTGCGCAGGTAACATAGAGTAGACCAACCTTGCCAGTGAATCAGGGGCGCTTTTGGTCAGTAGTTCTCAATATGAATTACTAAAATGTAATTTCGGTTTTAAAGATAGGTAATCTGATTTTGAAAACATTCGCGACGACGGTATTTTGGGCGTACAGTCGCGTGTTCGTTAACTGTTTTTTGTGAAATGATAATTTGGTGAGAATTTGGTGAAAATTCTAAGATAAACTAAACTATTATAGTAAAACTAACTAACTAAACTAAACTAAACCATTCGATGGGCCGAATCTCCTCGTCCTTTCGCCTCGTCGACTAGTACAAAACTAGTACAAAATCACTGAGAACTTTCTGCGAAATAAATAACAAACTCCTTGAAAACTGAAAATAATCGTCATTATCGTCGACGCGATTGCTTTTAGAATTTTTAGATTCGACGAGGCGAAAGAGTTGCGGTGATTGGTCTTGGAGGAGTCGGTCTTTCCGCCATTCAAGGAGCAAAGAATGCAGGAGCATCTGCAATATATGCCATTGACATCAATTCAGAGAAATTCGATTCTGGTCATTTACCCACTTTTTTAAAGTAAAATGTGGATTTAGCTCGCAAAATGGGTGCCACGCATTGCGTGAATCCAAGAGATGTGCCGAAGGATGGGAAATTTGGGGTCGGTTTTGAATAACTGAATAACGCCAACAAATGTTTAGAGCTGGTTTATCAAAAATTTCGGTGCCGTGGATAAATCACTGGAGTGTATCGGAAATGTGCAGTGTATGGTGAGTTGTTGACCGGGAAAGCTTTCGTACAATCTCTTACTTACTCTTAAAGTCTGGTCCAATTGCCCTAGGAGGAGTTCCCAGTTGGGGTCCCCGACCGGTTGACCATTTCACGGGTCCTGTTCCGTGTGGTTTTGCGCCGACATCGGTATGGATCAAAATGATCCGTCCCCTTCGGCTGAACCGGCGGAAGAAAAATAGGGGGCAAAGGGCCCCTCTTGTGGAAAAGCACTGAGCCAGGCGAGCGATTACGTGTCCGCACAAAGAACACTTCATGTTCTCTTTACAAAGGAATTTCTTTTATTCTTTAAACATTACCAACACGAGATATGAAGCCAAAAGTTTGTCCCCAGGGGTTTTCGGGGTCGGAGACTCGATTGGCGGGGTTCATTTGTTGTAACTTGAAGCAAAATCTCTAATTTGTCTGATCTTGAGCCATTTTCTCGTATTTTGGCTAAAAATAATTATCGCGGGGGTATAACCCATAAGATTCAAATCGTGTTTTTATTTGAGAAAGATGCTGTGGAAATCGTGGAACGAGGCTGGGGAAGGGCAGTGATGGTGGGGATTGCCCCTGATGGAGCTACTCTTTCTTTCAATCCCGGTCATCTCACCATTGGCAAGACAATCACTGGATCTATTTTTGGCGGTTGGGTTTGATTTGGGACACAGTTGGATTATCAACTTTCATTTTATCAAGTCTAAACCAGTTTCTCTTGTAGAGCATTTGCTCTTTTAAGTGTGTTTTATAACATTGCATTCTTTTTTATTTCTTGTCAATAGATTCAGGCTAAAAGTCAAGACAAGAGTTAAGGCAAATGCAAATTAAAAAAAATTAAAACTTTCGCAATATTTATAGGCTGGAAGTCCATTGACGATATCCCGATGCTAGTGGAAGAAATGAGAAAAGGGAAAATAGAGGTTGACCCTTTGATTACTCATCGATTCGATTTGGAGAAAGTTGATGAGGCTGTCGAATTGTTGAAGAATGGAAAAAGGTAACAAAGTATTAAACTCAAGAGGTGAACGAAAGTTTTCTGTTTTTTAGCATTCGATCGGTGATTTCACTGTCGAAACTTTGATGTGAGAGTTTGCATTTGAATCAATTTTGCTTGTTTTGTGCTGCTAGCGAATAAACTTTTCAAAGAATTTATTGCAAAATGTACTCAAAGGGTGTGACCATACGAAAATGAAAGAATTGAAATACAAAAAAAAAGATAATTAGACAAGTTACGTAGAAAATTGAAAACTCATGGATCGGAATGGAATTTAGTTAGCGATAAGGGAAAAGTTTATGTTATTCGAACAATAGAAATAATTTATTGAGCTCCAAAGTGCTTTGTCTTCTGGCCTTGCTCGGTGTGGAAAAGCATCTCTCCCTCGTGGCTCAATGAGGTTTCCTGAATAAAAGCGATTAAGATTTCGTAATGATTTGGGGGAAAATTATCCCTTGCGAAATCTGTTTTTCTGTTCTTTAATGTCTTTTCTTATCATCTTTTGCGGCTTTTAAAGATTGAGCAAACACTGACCTCATTAAAACACCGACAATGCGTGAATGAAGGGAAATAGAGATGAAGCGAGATGGCTCCCTCAGAATGAGATGGATTGTGCATTGAGTGGAGACCTTGCTCATCTATAAACAAAAGATAACTAAATATTATTGATTTTATCTTTCAGGAAATGTCTCCATCCACTTACCAGTCATATAACTGACGTCATTCAAAGCATATTCAGTTTTCCCGATTTCCTCCATTCGACACCGATCGGCCACCGTGGTCTTCTCGGATTCGTCCTGAAAAATCGGTTTTATACAGTTTTCAAGTGCTTTTTCTAAGTCGCAATGACTTCATTGTCATTGCTCTAATCCAGAAATTACAAATAATCCAAATTTTGAATTTAAACCCACCAAAATTCTCGTAGGCATTTTGTAGCGAGTCTCCAAAAGTTTTCCTTGAAAAACTTTGACGAAACAACTCGAGTTGGAATGATCGTGGATTCTAAAAACTTTTGAAATGCAATACAGCTAACATTTGGATGATGAGTGAAAGTTTTAAAAAGAGAAATCGCAAACGAACGGTGAAATGATTCCCTCCGGCCAGCAGAGAATGATTGCCTGACAGCCCGGCCATCGAGCCACCAAGTTGCGATAGTACTTCATTCTGAAAATAGTTTTGAAATATAGCAAATTTAAGCTTTTCTCCTTGTCTCATACTATACTCAAATAAAATATTCATCCGTTTTAACCAACCTTTTTGGATCCCAGAACTCATATTTCCTCCAACCGCCCTCGGCAGCGTCATAGCCCTTGAGAATCTAAAAAGGGATCAAATTAAATCAAATTTTTAAAGTATCACATTTAAAATGTAAGTCTCAACATATATTTATAAATCAACACTCACTTGTGCGGCTCGATTCTTCATGGAAACCTCGTTTTGAATGGATCCATCCTCATTTCGTACACCTCTCACCTCCTCTTGAAGAACTTCCATCATTTGATCGAAAGTGATCGGACGATCGGACATTTTGTAACGTGTATCTAAACGTTTAGTTGCATTTTATATATCAAATGTTTAATAGCTAATCGTTTTCAAAATAAACAGAGACTATTAAAATTGGAAGAACCACAAACATTGAATAAAATGTGACCACACTACCGCAACTCTCACCTAAGATTATAGTACTTCAATAGAAGTGTTCTCTATTTAAAATTAGCTAACTTTTCAAAAAAAAATGTCAAACAATTTTTAACTCCTCCCATCAAAAAATCTTTTATACATACTTTAAAATGGCACCAGGAAAATTTCCTATCCAATCGGGTATCTTTTGGCAGATGTGCTAATAAATTGAATCACCTTCGAATACGGTGAAATGGGGTAAGTTGAGAATATTCAGTGTAGAACAAAGTCTGTAGTTCCTACTGTATATGGCAAGTCTATAGAACCAGCTTAATCAAAACGAACAACCCATTAGCTTAATGATTTTGGATTTCAAAGAGTAAAAAATGTTGAGACTCTAGAAAGTTAGCAAATCAAAATTTTAAAAAGAAATCAGAAAGCTTGTGTGATTGGGTCAAAATTTGGGTTCTTATATACTAGAGATTTTGTTGCGCAAAAGTTTTTTGGTCTTACGAAATTATCATGAAAACATCTGACTGTGGGAATGATTTGAATACTCTTGCCAATTCCTTTTCTCTTTTTGAGGTGGATGTCGATGCCCACGATTTTATGGCACCAGTTTTCTTCTTTGAGCTCAAGTTACTTCAACTAAAAACAGGATTTCAAAATCATTGCTTTCGGTGCGATTTAGTTTTGTGTTACAATTGTTGGTCATCGATTTGAATACTCTTGCCTATTCCTTTTCTCTTTTTAAGGTGGATGTCGATGCCCACGATTTTATGGCACCAGCTTTCTTCTTTGAGCTCAAGTTACTTCAACTAAAAGCAGGATTTCAAAATCATTGCTTTCGGTGCGATTTAGTGTTACAATTGTTGGTCATCCAAAAGTTTTTTTTGTAAAGGCATTAATCTTTTGAAAAATGGGAGTTCCGTTGGGTCCTGAGATTTCTTCTATCGGAAAATGGCATGACATGACCACTCATTTGCAGGTTTTTCCACGATAGCTTTTTTAGATAAAAGTTTCGAGAGCTAAATTTTGAAAGTCAAAAGTAAGCTTTCGCATAATGAGACTGATAAAGTTGTTTTGACATCACTTACCAAAATTTAAATTTTAAATTTATCTAACAAATTCTATGACTCATATCACATTGTTTTCATGACGAATAACCTTGCATTTCAGTGAAACTGAGTAAACACCTCCATTGCCCTTTTTTGTCAGAGAAGCGAACCGCTCTTCTTTATTTTTTTTTCTTGTTTACATTATGATAAAAATCACACAAGTGTTCATTGAAATAAAGATGTTTGAATTTTGAATCGGTGTTTGAAAAAAGTGAAAAAGTGTATGAATTAGATAATGTATGAAGTAAGGTGTTTCACTTTTTCTAAAGTTCACAAAATTCAATGTGGCTCAAATTCTCAGATGTCAGGTTGAATGTCGAAATAATTTTTTACCGATGCCTCCTGTAGGCGCCACCAATCTCTTTTGTTATTTGTTATTATCTCCTAAAGAGACCACAAAACTCAGAGAGACTTCAAACAAAACACAAAACTATTTTTAATTGATATGCCCAGTCAGTACACCAGAAAGTTCGATTTAAATTGTTCAAGAAAAGCTGTTTCTTGGAGTTAATGGTAAACACATGGTGTTTGTCAAAGATAAAACGGTGTCAAAAATAATGCTTGTTTTCGAAAAATTTGCTAACATTAAGAGTCATATTTGGGAAAAACAATTGAGCTTATTCGTTGCGCGATGAATAAATGACGTTTGATTTTTGTTTTGATTTTGAACCGATTTTTGAAGCAAATTAAACAATTAAATTCCATACTCGCTAATCGATTTTTCTTTTTTTCTTTTGTTCTTTCCCCTCACGGTTTCAACTTTTTCAAACCTCTCTTTTCTTATTTGAGCGAAGAGAGAATTCTTTTCTTTTCAACGCACACAACAACAACAAATTTCTCTCTCATTTTATGAGATAGAGCCAATTCTGTAAAAGAGAAACAATAAAATCTCAAGTCAATTGTTCATTTATTGAAAAAAAAAACTGCTGCAAACTTTATTTATTTCACGAAAATGATTGAGCTGATTGTTTATGCGATTTTGCTATCGGCAACGCTAGCCGATATCGATTGTACAATTGGTATAACTTGTTGATTTAATCCTGAAATTTAATTTCAAATTTAAGTGTTCAATTTTCGAAAAAACATTGTTAGCCCCTCATTATCAGGACAGAATTTAGAATTACAAAACAAATTTAGGCCGAGATGTGGGTGAGACAAGTTGTGGTGAGCAGGGCGCTCAACGCTTTTTCTATGATTCAAAAAGAGGAATATGTCAGCCATTCTACTACAAGGTTTGCATTTTAGAAACCTATTTTACATTAGACTGTGTTGCTTTTGTTTTCTAAATGGTGTACGTGGGAATGCACCGTCCCATTTTTCAGGGTTGTGGTGGCAACGGAAATCGTTTCTCAAGTCGAGATGAATGCATGAAAAGTTGCAAAGGGACAAAAGAGAAGGGATCGGGTGGACCTGTTGGTAGGAATGCTATAGATTTCATGCTAAAAAGTGGCTCGGTTCAATGCATCTTAATGTGAACCGGATACAGTAGGAAAAGAGATAAAACCCGATAGTAGGCTTAATAAATCGGGACAATCAGACTACCAAGCACATAGCAAACAGCCAATAACAATAAAATTTGTTAAATTTGGCTTAAAAATATACTCTGGAGAACTTTTTTAGCTCGATGCAAAGCAGGGAATCCGGCAGCGATGGACGAGAACGGACAAACTGTGGGATGTGAGAAATGCCCTGATGGATACTCGTGTCAAGGGAAATTCTGCTGTGCAGTTAAAGGTTGTGATTGAGACTTTCAAATATTAGTTGTATTACTGGCAATGTTGTACACAAGTTTATCCACTTCCAGTGTTTCATGGGTTTGAGAATAGCTAGTTCTCCTCAAAGACGTAGAATTTGAGAACTACTTGCAACTTTTTTTATAAAAATACATTAAAATGCTCGTTTGATTGGTTCATTTAAAAATTTTCCAAAGTGATAACAAGTTGTCAACTTTTCATTTCAAATTTCTTTCCAGAAAAATCCTGCTCTCTCGAGTACGATTCAGGAAAATATGTCCAAGGACGAGCTCATATACCAAAGTAAAGTGTTTTCAAGAAGTGCATTCTTCAAAGATACAAAACTGGTATTATCTTTCGAAACTCCCCTTTCAGATACTTCTACAGTAGTCAATTGAAGACGTGTCTTCTCTTCACCTATTATGGATCACTTGGGAATGCGAACAATTTCAACTCTTTTCAAGAGTGTCTCGATTTTTGTAAATAGATGTATTTCATTGGATCAAGAAATGTTTTTCGTTTTGCAACGGGACTACACATCCATTTCAAAAGACTAAAATGAAAACAGACAAGAAACTTGTTTTCAACAAATTGCTTAAACTTTGATTCAAAGTAAAAAAATTTATTCCTTAGAAATCAATAACCAAATGATAAAAATGATGAAAATGCACAAACAAAACCTAACAACTAAAAAAACAACTTTGAAAAACCCTTAACAATGATAACAGATTTAAAAAATTCGTAAAAATCGACAATCACTGCTTTCTAGCCTCAATCTTTTTTTTCAAGTAGAGCAATTTTTGTCTTTCTTCACAATCGGGCAAGTTGACCAAATCGTTGTACCGTGGAGCAATTTGTAGCAACCACTCCGGCTTGACATCGGTGACCGTCCGAATGAAATTCTTTGCTGTTAACACAAACTCGTTGTAGAGTGCCCATTCACGTTTATGATCCAAGACAGTTGATGGATGAAGGTTCACAATTTGATTATCCCCCACAGTTATGTAGTGTCCACTGCGCTTAAGATGAGCGACTTGCATGAAGAGCCCGGCTACCAGTGCCTTTCTGATGTTCATAAAGTAGTCTTGGCTCCTAAAATCGGTCGAAATTCGGCGCCAGTTGGATTTGTCCATGATTCGTGAGAGTTGATTGCGAACATTGTCCGCATTTTTCATCGTTATGTAGTTGATAAAGTTGTCATAACACCATTGAATATCGTCCCGATTTTTTTAAAAGCATGATAAACGTTAAGAAGCGTCAAATGATCACCGTCCACGTGAGCAAAGCGAGCTTTTGCCTCATCGGCTTCCCTTCTGGCCCCATTTGGATGAATAAAGCATTGCGGCACTGAAAGCATGGCTGCAATTGACAAAGTCTCATTGCTGCAGCAAAGCTCAGTGCTTGTAATCAACATCTTGGCTAGTTGAGGGTCCAACGGGAGCTCGGCCATCAGTGAGCCTAACTCCTTCAATTCTCCATCATCATTGATCGCGGCCAAGTAGTTCAACATTTCTAAGGCTCTCATCAGTGTTTCAGGAGCTGGTGGATCCATCGAAGTCAAAATAGAGGAGATCCTCAATTCCCAGCTTTTTCAACTGTAGCACAACACCTCCCAAATTCGATCGAAGACTTTGGGGTAATTTTGCTCTTGCATTTCCTCGTTATAGGCCTTTTCCGTGTAGAGACGAAAACATTTCCCCGGTTTTGTACGACCGGCACGACCAGCAAGTTGCATCGCCGAAGCCTGTGAGATTAGGCCCACCAAAAGAGATTCGACTCTGATCCTCGGATTGTAGACTTTTTGCTTCGAAAAGCCTGTATCAACCACGAACACAACTCCGTCGACTTTCAATAAGGTCTCAGCGCTATTTGTTGAGATGACACACTTTCTGCCAATCGCTCGATTTGGACGATTTGGTGGCGCAGGTTCAAAGATCCTTTGCTGCATAGCCGGTGGGAGATTCGAATACAGTGGAATGCATCGCAATTCTCCAACTTCCGAACCCAAATTATCCATTTGTGATTTAATCCGTCTGCATGCCTCTTCGATTTCTTCTTATCCTGTCAAAAATGGCAGAATGTCCCCCTCAATCTCCTCACAAACATGGATTTGGACTGCCGTTCGAATTCCCGCCTCCAAATAGTCCTTCTCAGGCTCGGGTCTATAGAAGATTTCTACAGGGAACGTCCTCCCGAGCACCGACATCAAAGGGCAGTTGTCAAAGTATGTTGGAGCTTTCTCGCATCGACTGTGACCGACATCACCACTTTGATATCTTTTTGTTGCTTCATTACCTCTTTGATTAATCCCATCAGGATGTCAGTAGCAAGCATACGCTCGTGAGCCTCGTCAAGAATGATCACCGAATAGTTGTCCAAAAGAGGGCAACTCATTGCTTCTCTCAAAAGCATACCATCGGTGCAGTACTTCAGCAAAGCTCGCTCCGAAACGATCAAAACGAATTGAATACCCGACCTCTTGTCTAATTTGCCCGTCCAATTCATCGGCGACACAAGTTGCAACAGACATAGCTGCCACTCTCCTTGGTTGAGTGCATGCGACGAGTGACTTCTTGCCGGGAATCGCATATCTCCTTGCATACTCCAAGCACCATTGTGGAATTTGCATTGTTTTTCCAGATCCAGTCTCCGCGACAAGCGTCAAAATCTGATTTTGATGAAGCATTTTAAGAAATGACTTCTTATATTCCCAAACAGGCAGCTTGCTTCGTTTGTCGTAGATATCCCAATATCGACGCGACAACGTGACCCCATTCAATGGATTCGTATTTTGCTTTCTTTCCATCTCGAGTTTATTGTAAGCGCTCGAATAGGCATTGTCTTGACGAGGTGAACGACTCCTTGACCGTTGTCTATTCCAATCGTTTCGATCATCACAATCTCTTTCACGATCACGATGACGACGGTCCTCGTTCGAACAAATGCGTTGACGCGATGACATTTCCTAAAATAGAAAATAAATTAAAGGATGGAAACAAGTTCCAGTGTTGAGGTGCCAAATCATTGAGTTAAGCAAAGATAAGTTTAGCATCAAAGTAATGATTTGCCACCCCAATACGGGAAAAGTAACGGAAATAAAGTAAACGTACAAAAAATAAAAACAACTAGACGACCAGATGTTGCTTAAAGCTCGGAGAATAATTTGACTTTCCGTTTTTGAAGAAAAAGTGCGCAAAAAACAAAAAACAAACAAAAAAATATTCGGCTAAACATATAAATTTGAATATAAACATTTGCATATTAACAAATTGGTATCAAGGTTGCGCTTTTATTTTTTTCCTTATACGCTCAAAACGACAAATGGAGAGGATATTGTGTGGATTTATGCACTTTTTTTGCTTCAAGATCGCCAAGTTGAGCGGCGCGCCTTGAGTGAAAAAGAAATGATAACAAGTATCGAACCGCAGACAAATACCAGCATTCACGTGGATTCATTTGCATACATATTGTTAAGTCCCTCCACCTTTCTTTTGTAATTGTTTTTGGCTAAAAAATGGTTTTTTTGAATCTTTTTCAACCGTTACACGTATAGAGTTATGTCGCTAAAAGAGTAATGAATGAAAAATCAAATTGCTTTGTTCTCGCATCGAATGATAAACGCTCGCTCATCCAACGACTTTTTCTTGAAAACCTTTCTCCGCAAAATTTTCCTCGAATTATGAATGGGCAAAAAGTGGAACGTATAAATAAGCGGAAAAGGGAATAAAATCGAGTTGAGACAAAAGGGAAAAGACGAAATAATGGATGTTGACATGAAGATTCGTATCTACAGAGTTATTGGCTATCTTGCTGTCACATGCTCAACGATTGCTATTTTGTGGTTGGTATTTGATTGGCATTACTAGCTACTATCATAATCTATAAGCCTTTTACTATTTACTATCTATAAGACATGTAATTTGCAGTATTTGTGTGGCTCTTCCCATCATCTACAATCAGGTGTACTCAATTCGACAACAAGTTCATCTCGAACTCGAACAGTGCAAGGTTAATGAGATTTACAAAACAAAAAGTGACCATTTACAGAACTCGGTTCGATTTGTTTGGAATGGGGTAAAGATCTTCGACAAATCTTCGACAAAAGGCAATCGAACCACTCGTGATGCCTATCCAACTATTCCACCGCCACCTCCGTTGTCCGTGTATCCAACTGAACCACCACGACCCCCGCCATATCCTATTGTAAGTTTGCGGAAGTTTTAGAGTACATACCAACTATGAATACAATTTTTTAAATTCATAAGTGCAAAACTTCCAGATCAGACCAGATCAGTTTGACTAGTCAAAAAGTGATGTTTAGCAACCTCCAATGGGTGTTTGCGAGAGCTGCTGCACACCCGGTCCCCCCGGCCCGATGGGATCTCCAGGAGCTCCGGGCCAAGTGAGTAATTTATTTCGACAAGCTCATTACATCAGATAATAATTTTTTCCAATAAGCGCAATTTTCAGCCCGGCCAACCTGGCTCCCGGGGTCAGCCAGGGAACCCTGGACGGTCCCCGAAAAAACCCTGTCTTCCACCCTCACCACCACCATGTGAGCCGTGTGCTCAAGGGGATCCTGGCCCAGCCGGGCCTAGGGGAGCACCCGGAACTGATGGAAAACCGGGACCACCAGGTACCATTGGGCCAATCGGTGAGCCGGGGACTGATGGTGCACAAGGAAGCATTGGGCTCTCTGGAGGGCCTGGAGGTCAGGGTGAACAGGGTGAGGTAGGCGAGCCTGGACCAAACGACAAACCGAAACCCGGACCGCCGGGTGCTCGCGGTTTTAACGGATTGATGGGCTCAATGGGAGCTCCAGGACCCCAAGGCCAAATGGGTCCAAATGGCAAGGACGGACCTCGTGGTCCACCCGGTAATCCCGGGATGCGGGGAATGCCGGGAATTCCCGGACTAAAGGGTGTCCCGGGTATCACCGGAAATGAGGGTGAGAGGGGCGTGTGTCCTCAATATTGTGCATTGGATGGAGGGATTTTCTTTGAGGACGGTAAAAAGATGATGAGAGTGTGAATAAATGTTTTTGCTTTCGTGGTAGATTTGAAAAGATCCATGGTACTTCTCATCAAATTTGCGAGATACAAGAATGTATGATACATGTATGATGAAGATGATGTCTGTTCTCTTCTTGACTTTTCTTTTCTTTCTTGAGCTTTCCCTTCTTCTCCTTTTGTGATCGAGTGGTGAGTGAATTGGATTTGTGTTGCTCGACAGCCTCTGCTCATTCTCCTTTTCTCTACTTCTTTTCCCCTAACGTGCCTCAAGTAGGCGATTATTTGTTCGTGTTACTATTATTGAGTAATAACCATTGAAATGAATTTGAAACTTGAAACTTTTTGATACATGAAGCTTATTTTTATTGGTTTTTGTGCAAAGATCTGAATAGAAACACCAATAGCCTAAAGAGTTCAAAAAACAATTTCTTTTCCAAGTCTGATTTTTATAAATGATGTTATTTCAGCACTTGCTTAGGATCTTGACTTTGAAGATTCATAAAATTAATGTTGAACATAAATCTTTGTGAATGGAGGGGAGAAAAGGAGTAGAAAAGGACACTTGTCGTGTCGATTGATCACCCACACTGACACATTCAAATAATCCATTCCCACTCGGGATTTCTTGATGGTTTAACTCGTATTTAGCTTGAGGGTATTTAGTTTTTATTATTCATCTTAAATAGTTCCGTAACTTTAAAAGTAACTTGTGCAAAGGAAAAATCGTAACGTGAGCGGTGAGTGATTGTAATAACATCATAACATTGAGAGTGGGCACAAGCGTCATCCTCTTTTTATCTTTTTGTCTTTTGCAGTTTGACTCGTTTTCCTTTTTCTGGTTTTTTTCCTCAAGAAAAGACTCATGGGATCTTTGCTGTTGATGTGCCAATGACAAGATCCCAATGGGTATTCAAGAGAGAAAAGGAAAAAAAAAGCCATTCCCCTCAAAGACGAACCAAAAAGAACAAAACACTGAATTTACTGCTATTCACTTGTTGTTATGGCCCTTGAAATGTTCATTTTCAGAATCTTTGACCTTTCAGAAAATGCAGCTGAACTTGTGGTTGAACAAAGACACAACTTCTAGCACTCTTCGACTAAACTTTAGATTCAAACAAAACTTGACTTTTACATTTTGTGGTTTTGTTACAAGACACCAACCACATTATAATAGTACCCCACCCCCATAATGACGGTGCGGAGTGTTGCGTAGTCTAGCTTTGAACGAGTTTTTCTCGACACTGGTTTATGCTACAATGCGCGCTTAGGTATCAAAAAATAGCCCTGAATTTCAGCTATTTTTTGAAAGTACGGGCGCTTTGAAAAAAATGAAATACTAAAAAACTTTTGCGACTACGCGACTGTACGAGGGGGGGGGTACTATTACAGTATTTACGGCAAATCATAAGTCAAAATCCATCGATTTTACGGCATAAAATTTCCCACACTTTTCTCAATATTTTTCTCAGGAATATTAGTTTTTGCTTCTCTTTCACTCAATCCGGAAATCCCAAAATATAAACGATAATCGAGTTTTGAAATTTTTACTTTCTCGATTTAACTAGAGAATTTTTACGGGATGTTTATTTTTTCAGTTTAGGGATTAGCGGTCTTTTCGGGGGTTGGACATTCTTGAAATGACTCCAATTTTTGAAGCACAAAGACCTAATTTGAGCTAACGAAGAACATCGGTTAAACACGTCGATATGTGATATGTGATTCAAATGAGCCAAAGTCTAATAGCCGAAAATTCGTCTAAAGTTCACGCACCTCAAAAAAAGAGTTCTTTTACATATTGTCAATAGAAATATGCAACGATAAACTCATGAACGAGTGTCTATCTTTTAAAAGTGTCTATCTCGCTACTCAAAATGAGTTGAGTAGCGAGAAGGGAAAGACAAATTACATCAATTCTGCGCATCCAAATTTCCCTCTTTTTGAATTTTTTTTGGTGGGTCCAATATAAGTGTTGGATTCTCCCTCGATTTCCCCTCTCTCATCTCACACCGAAAATAAATGGCATTTTGCAAGATTTCTCATTTTTTTTGCTTCTAATCAAAATGTTCAGTGAAATTTTTGACGAATTCTCACCTAACGTTTGCATAATTGCCAATTTCCTTTATGTGTTGGGGCGGCACAAGCTCGGCCACTTCGATCAGGGTTTTTTTTGTGTAGAGTTCAATTTATTTTTAGATTGGTATTCGGGGTGATGTTTAGACTTTTATAATGGATGCATTTGCGTTCTTTGCTAAGGTTTTTAACAAAAAAATTTCCGATCTTGAGTCAATTTTTCTATTACTTTTAAAAATTTACAAATGTTTTACTCGATCTTTTCAGGGATGCTCCCCTCCTCCGCGGTTCCCCTCGAGCGATCGGTCCGCATCCCAGCTGGAACAAAATGTGAGCGCAAAAATTGTGTTAAGTTGTTTGCCTTAAATAGCATTCTATTCTTTTTGCAATTAGCAAAAAAATTATGACGCGAAGAAAATTTGAACTTTTCCTCAAGAACAAATTTAGTGACGACATCGAGGATAATTGGAAGTCCGGCAGCACCGATTCTGAAAAAAACGACAAGTTTTGGAGCGGGAGAACGATTTGCGAGACACACTTTTGGATCGCCCGGACCGGCTGGGTAAAATATTGCTATTTTTCTATTATCAGTTTATCCAAAAATCAAAAAAAACAAGTGTTCGATTGGGGCCTCAAGGAGGCTGTAAGGGATGTGAATGTATCTTGTATGTAATTGTAATTGTGAATTAGAGAATACATATATCATTGGTCTAGACCAAACTCGAATATAAATCAACCCAAAGAGATCTATTGCCGGGAGTAAGCACAAAAGGCGGGAGAAATTTTCCCCACCGCCACGAGGGAATGCAAAAAAAAGGGAAAGGGTTTCCCCTTCAGAATTAGTGGTTCTTTTGAAAAGGCTAATGGGAAACACTCCCATATGCATTCATCCACCTCATTCTTTTCATTTTTCTTTCCCTCTCTTTCTTTCTTTCTTTTTCTATTCATTTTGAAGACATAGCTCATCTTTCTCTCATTCGCTCATTCCATCATCATCAACTCAAAGTTTTTACGCCTTTTTTTTATTTGTGTTTGAAAAAAGTTTCAGAATCGGATGTAAAACGCATGCATTGCTATTGAGATTGTCCTGATAGTTTGAAAGAGAAAGACTTGGGACTTTTCATTTAATTTAGAAGGCAAATCAAATTCTCATTTTAGCTTTTACTATTAGGGAAGGAGGGTCATCGTTTTCACAACTAAAAGAGATCTCTCAAATAGTCCCTCCTCTAGCTCCAGAGAAGGGGGTCTCGAATTTCATGTCGTATTTCTCTTTGATGTGAAAATTGTGCGTAGAAAAGAGAGATCGATGGATTCTCCATCTCGCATTATTGTCTTTTTTCCCCTCTTTTCTCACAAATCCCTAAACTAGGCCCCAACGAAGTGTCGAGAGAGATCCCCCTTCGAGCCACCAAATTGTTTGCAACTTTGTCCAGTTCGCCCACTTTTTGCCTTCTTTTCCTCGAAAATTCTCACTTCCAATTAGTGTGTTGGATGCTTAGTGGAGTCGTTGAGTGTGGTCGTTTTCTGGCGGATGGAGATGATTTGGATCAACTTGAGCCTTTGCATATACAACAAGCAATTGGGTTAGTTAGCACTGTTGTATTAAGGCATTTTTTTGGTTTCTTTTTTTGCTAACCTTTTCCTCTTCCTCATTCGCGTTATCTTATTTCAAAATCTGCGAACAAATCGGAAAGTGTTCGGCAGCGTTTGGCTTTAATTGACTTCTCCGAAACTCACGGGTATTCTGTCTTACATCTACTTTTACCAAATCAATGTGGCTTCAAAAGTTTTACAAGAGGTAAATTGAATTAAACATTGTCTGTGTAAAAGCTTCATATATAGCTTTTTTTGATTGGAGATCAATTCCACGGCATGGCAACATCTGTTAATTAAGAGAGTTTTGTTTTTTAGAAAAGCTAGAAACAAATTTGTGTCACTGCAGAAACTAATTGGACGATAAATCATTGAACAAGGAAATAAAAAGAAATAAAAGAAAAGAGGGTGTAGTGACAAATGGCTAGGGAGGGCGGAGGGGCTACTTGGCTGAGATTTGAGGGACATTTGATCATTCAATGCCACATTAGGGTTTTAATGCTTCATTTGAGTTCTAAAATATCTCATCCTAAGTAGTAATAAGTTTAACTTTCCATACTCTCATTACTTAATATTCTTGTAATGTGCAACTCTGGCAACTTGTTGATTTTGGAAAGTTTCTAGCGATTGCTGTTTCATAATGGAAATCTCAATTGCTATGGCACTTTTACCTAGAAACATAGTTAACTATTAGGCTTAGAAAAGCTATTTTTGCCTATAACCAGAGGATGCCTCAAATGTTATCATAAAAAGTTCTATAAAATCTTCTATATGAGTAAAATAGAAAATATGAAACAATTTTCTAGCGTAACAATACTTAGAAAATCTAATTTTATAGGTTTTGAGTCTTGGAAACTTTATAAAACGTCGTAAAAGTGGTCTTTTAGGAGAGGACAGAAATTTTATTTATACAAAACCCTTTATAATTCAACTTATTAGTAGCTTATCTTTAATATACGTGCAAGCGAAGGATGTTGTGACAAATGACGTTTGATGGGGGAGGGAATGGAGGAGGTGAAGGAGGTGAAGGGTGAAGGGATGAAGAGAGGAGAGGCGCTCATTTTAACGCTCTGAGCCCCGGCTCAAGGGGTGTTTCCTTTCCTCACCCTTTGCACAGGGTATTCTCGATGAAATGATTGAGATCCCAATCACTCTTTTGTCCTTTCTCAGCGAAAATATCTCCGTTCATTTCCCACCTCCTTCATGCAGTCTCCTTTTTTTAGTCTCGTCGACCACATATTGGATCTTTTGTTTTTCTTTTGCCTCAAAGCTCAAGCCTCTTTCTCACAAAGAGCTCAAATCTCATCTCAAATCATTTTCCGAACACATTTGGTTTACACTACGAACACTACGAATAACTTTTGGATCATTAAAATGCCTCAAACGGTGCATTGAAAAGTTTCAAAGTCTCAAAAGCATTAAAATTTTGTCATTTTAGCTAACAATATGTCGTAGCCGATTATGAATGAGTGGGTCTAGGAGCGTCCAACCATCAAGTATTTAGTATCATTCAACGCAGAATCATTGATAATTATGTTAAATTTTTAAAATTAGAAAGATTGGATAAAAAGAAAAAAAATTATGGGGCCTCAAAGTTTTCTCTTGAACAAACAGTTTTTTTGCTCTAATTTTTTTTTCTTTTGATCAAATCTTGCTAAAAATTTAACATAATTATCAATGATTCTGCGTTGAATGATACTAAATACTTGATGGTTGGACGCTCCTAGACCCACTCATTCATAATCGGCTACGGGGGTCCAGCCGATTTTGAATGAAACGTTGTAGCGCCGGTAATTTTTAACCTAAACTCACAAATTTGGTACCAATCGACGCAGAATTTAATTCGCTACAGGATGATATAATATTGTCCTCATACATTAAAGGGTTGCTCTACTAGAAAGATTTGCCAAAAAGTTTCATTCATAATCGGCTACGACAAATACATAAAATCGATTGCCAGGTATTATAGTTTAATTTACTATGATAATGATATAATATTTTTGTTTTCTTATTCTAATTCTAGGCTTAGAAAAGCTATTTTTGCCTGTAACCAGAGGATGCCTCAAATGTTATCATAAAAAGTTCTATAAAATTGCCAGGTATTGTAGTTTAATTTCTATATGCCAGGTATTATAGTTTAATTTACTATGATAATGATATAATATTTTTGTTTTCTTATTCTAATTCTATAAATCAGAAAGTGAAATCTCCCTCCCGGAAATCCCAAACGAATTTTCGTAACCAGGTTTCCTGGATCCACTCGAGTGTAACTAAATTTTTCTCTTGAGTCCCCTAAAAATTTTTGGATCTAACTTTTCCAACTTTTCCAACAACTGTTCCAAAACCGTTCCAAGTTTTGGAACATTTTTGGATTTCTTTTCTAAAAATATGAAATTTATCAAACTCAGCTTAATAATCCTGTTTCTTTTTATACAACCATTTTAGTGAGGTGCTGAACGGCTCGGGATCGGGCGTATCGCCGAGGGATCATCACACGATGCTCGGGTTTGTGCTATAGCATTTCGAAATTGCTTGTTATTTGATGCTGTTTTAACTTAACATAATAGAATTTATGCACAATTCCAGTTCTTTCTTAATATGTTAAAGTATTCGAGAGATTCTCTGGGTTTCTCAGAATGATGATCTGTATGTTATGCTTCGAAACAAATGACGTGTTTGCAAAATCATTCATTTTATGGTGGCTGATTTGTTTAAGTGCTGAAATCGGAGTGAGCTGGGAAATCGAGGGGATTTGATGCCCACTCTTTGAAAGGAAAAGAAAAGAGATAAGCCTACAGCAATTTGTGATTTTCTTCTCAAATTGCGCTTTGTTTATCGTTTTTTTTTTGTTTCTACAGTTGATTCCCACCGAAAATAGTCAGCAGCTCAAAAACAATGATCCGAGGATAACAATAAGATTCTCTTGAGTAGCTCTAGTATTCCTAAGACTCTGATACCCGTAAAAGATCGAAACCTTCATCAACTAGAATTTACCCATATCGTGAGTGAATATTTTTAAAAGTTAATATTTAATCTGATTTTTCGGAGGTAAAACACTTTCCTAATATTATAATTGCAGTCATATGGCCTCGGGATCGGCGACTCTCTCAGCGGTTAGAGATCAACAAGAAACCGAGAATAGAGGAGATTCGTTGGAACCCGAGAGTACACAAGGTGACAGGTGAGATTTGAAAATAATTAAACAACTATTAAGCTGTGTTCTTGCATTTCAAATTTTCATATTATCCAACATTTTGAAAAGTTTCCAACTTTGCAATTGGAACTACATAATTGTAAAGCGCTGCACTCTTAAGATTGCGATGCTTTTCTGCGATGCTTTAAGATTGCGCATGCTTTTCTTGTTTTCACTTCTTCTACAGCAAGATTGATATCGAATTTTGAATTGTAAGCATAATTTGTCAGATGATTCGTGTCGATTCCGATGAAAGCAAGTATTTTACCAGAGTTAGTCAAAGAAAATCGCCGGATTTCGGAAAAAGAACTGGTTGACGGACTGACTGTATCTATAGAAACGAGAGGGGCTCTTTTTCCCTTTCTCTGTGCTCATTTACATTAAATCCTCAGGAAAAAAGTATTCATAGCCAGTCTACAATTTGTAATTTGTAAGCATGAGCTGGGTGCAAATCTCTTTTGATACTGTGTCAAAATTTCCTGTGAGAGATGTTAAATTCGTGAGAAAATCTTCTTTATTTCGGTCAATAGTTCATCTAATTGTAAAATATTTTGAGCTTACGTAGTTATCATTTCTGTAAAGACAAGTCGTGTTTGTTTTTGGAGTTTTGTTCGCAGAAGCACTCTCAAATGTCTATGAGTTCAAATCAGAGTTCGCTGGGAAGTTCCGAAACTGAAATTGGTCCCCGGGGAGAGTTATGTGCTGACTACTAGCTGAAGATAAATGTTCAACAAAACAAGAAAAGAGGAAAGATCAAAGGAGAAGTTTGTGATCACAAAGATACAGAGACTTACAGAGCTACTGTAGATGTGGAAATGGGTGTAACATTTATTGGTAAAGTTATCGAATAAAGGATTTACAATTCACATTGTCTACTTAATTCAGAGAATCCACAGTTAGTTGATGAAAAAGGTTTCTTATAGACGTGAAAATTCACGAAGTGACCTCAAATAGGTGGCCACAATTTTCGAGTAGAGCAGAAAAAAGGTGATCATCCTCGAGGCGTCATATTGGATGAAATAAAAGAAAAAGAAAAAGGGGAAGTCCCAATCTATAAAGAGAAAAAAGAAGGCAAGAGTGAGAAGAGGAGATTATCCCGTCAAAGCCCCCCCTTCCCCTCATTTTCATATATTCTACAAAGTTCTTCCTCTCCTTTTTTTTCATTCAATCCAACTTTCTTTTCTTTTCTGGATTCTTCATTTCTCATTCCATTTATACAGAATATTGATTCAGGGCAGGCAACGGCTTCCTTACTTGTTGCCTCGAATTTGAAATAGCTAATCTAGTTTGCTTAGACTCTTTATCTTTATCTAGACCCCCAAAAGTAATCCAAACTTCTGTGTATTCAAGGTTAAGTTTAACTTTTGTTTTAGGATAAGACGAATTTCTGACCATTTTCAGAAATTTTGTGCCATTGATATAAAGAAATAACAATTGATTTCAAGTTCCTTCAACTCTATAGTTAGCTCGAAAGCTAATAGATACCTAAGCTGGATGTTTTTTCGTCTTTCTCATTTTCTCTTTAGCTTCTGATCTTCTCCTCTCTACAATTATCTCTTTGTGACTCATATTCAGAAAACTCATTAGCTTTTTGTTCTTTTTTATCTTTCTCGTACTTTGACTCCTTTGTACTCGAAGCTGGGCCTGTTTAGAGAAATAGAATTCTCGGTGTTGATTATCGGAGAGGGTTTTTGTGTGCGGAATGTCGGTGCGCAGTCTGCGCAGCCATATCGGTTCGGTCAGCAGGTAATTGAATGATGGAGAGGTTAGAAATGAGTCGGGAAATTGTATCGTAAAGGGGAAACTAGTCGGCACATATTCAGTTATTCACTGGGATTCGTTCATCGATGAAATTTGCGTCGTGATGCTTCAAGCATTACAAGAAATGTGGTTACTTTTTGGGCTACTTTACTATAGCAATGTCAAAAGATCTTGTTGCTACACAATAAAAGTAAAATCTTAAAGATATTTTATCAATATATTGAATATAATCAATTGTTTTCAATGATTAGATATGGCTCGGACGCAGGCTTCAACGAGGATGTCGAGGGACGATTACCGCTCGAAAGAAATGCCCACAAAAACTCAGTTCGAGAACCGATACCTGTAAGTCTGATATTCTCAAATTATTTCAAATTATATATTTATCGATATTTTCATTGAGAACTCGTTTACAGGATGCAATGCTCAAATTGAACATTGGAGGGAGCAGCTATCGGATACGATCGCGATCCATAGTCAAATTTGGGCCCAAGACTTTGTTAGGTGAGGTTTGGAATTTGTGAATAATTCACATGGGTAGCTACAAACTGAATAAAAACTGAAACTATAAGAGAATTCTAATTACCATTTTATCCAGGTCGTTTCGTTCGAATGAACCATGAACACCGACGACAATGGGCTGATTGGTATTTCGAGGACACCGACGAATATTTCTTTGAGAGAGTTCCTAGGTAAAAATATTTTAAATAGACATCTATTGCTGTTTTATTTTCAGGTACTTTGATCCAATCTATGACTTCTTTGCCACCGGAAAGCTGCACGTCCCAAAGGTTTATTCGAAACTATTAAGCTGTTCAGAAAGTCTTTTTGTTAAAACCATTTATTGGTTTTAAACAGAAGAACGAAAAGGAATGAAAAGCCTTTCTGGAGAACCTAATATTTTAGTGTACCATGTTTTTTCAGGACTTATGCTTTGACAAATTCATGGCCGAGCTCCGCTTCTGGGCTGTCTCGAAGTCAAAAATGGACGATTGTTGTTCGCCGTTCACTCAGTATGCTTTCACACTCACCGCCCCATCACAGGTGAGAGAAAGAAAAGTGATTAAAACTGAAACTGATTCATAAAGTCGTCTTGAATGCACTTTCCTCACAATCAGAATTCCTTCTTTTATCACCTTTTTCACTTTCCTGCTTGGAGAACGTCAGCTTAAGTCAAGCTCATCAGCTGAAAGTTGATTGAATATCTATTATACAGAGCTTTAAGCTAGCTAAAACTAAACTGATGTTCTTGATCCGAAGCCAATTCTCCAAGAATATATCCCAGCAAATCCTTTTGAACAATCTTTGTTTCAATTTCCTTTCGGATTGTTGATCCCGTATGATATTTGACTCTGGTTTTGATCAGACCCAAAAAGCGAGCTTGCATCAATTCAATCCCATTCTTTGCCTGACCCCAAAATTGGATCCGTTTTGTGAGCCTTTTCTTTGTAGGAGGCAATGCGAGAAGCAGCTATTCAACAGGTTTGTTCATCTATCCCAAATCGATCGTTTCACCAAAAAAAAAAGATTGTCATACTCTTCGAATCACGCTTTTCAGACTGTGGTCCCTCTAAAGCGTTTTATAAGCGTATAACAGTACTTTCTAAAGAGTGCTTTTCGAAAACACTTTAGTCAAGGGACACACAGTTTGGTGCTTACTGTTTTAACAGAACTGTGTAAGATGGTCTTTTTTTTCTGTGTTCGGTGAAGATCGGTGAATTGAATTGTCTTTTTCTTGCCACACAAAACCTTTGTAACTCCATTGCCCTGCATGTGTAAACTTTTTTGGGAAGCTCTCAACGCGACGGCATGTTTTTGAGTGTTTCCTCTCCGATTCCAGTACAGCATCATTGTTAATATCTCCAAAATAGAAATCATTAAAAGGGTTTAGTTCTTTTGCATCTCTGTAAAGTCGGATTTAAATTTGTATTGTTTAGGAAAAGGATCACTTCATTGGTGTGCGATGTGCAAAATTGAGAAGACGATTATGGCTCGTTTTAGAGGGACACACAAATAGCAAGTGGTGGAAGGTAAACAAAGAATCGAGATTCATTTGGCTTTTACATAAAAACTGTCATTCACTAAATCTTTCAGGTCTTCGAAGTGACCTCAACCTCATTTGTTGTGCTGAGTGTTGCGGCGTTGATCCTTGGATCAATTCCACAATTTCAAGTATGTTTTCATCTCAAATTCGTCTTACAATTTACTTCTTTAGGTCCCCCAGCGAACGGCTGATGGAGAATTCGGATTTGTGTACGTGAAATGAATCAGAAGAAATCTCCAAAATAATTTTTTAGCACTGGCACCTATCCAACGTATCCGGCGCACGGAGAAACGATTTACAAACAAAGAACTGTTATTAAAGAAGGACCAACTGATCAAGTAAAGTTCGAGACAATAAAAAGAGAAGAAAAGCTTTTAGGATGAAATGGTCGAACATCCAGTGTTCAACTATGTCGAAAATATTTGTGTTGTCTATTTCTCTCTTGAATACGCATTGAGATTTTGGGTAGGTTTTATGGCATTTTATGGCTCCTTTTCAACATTCACACAAATTTAGATGAACTTTTTTGGATAAGAGATGTAAATTTAGACTTTTCTCCTCGAAATTCTAAATAATAAGTCTAGCAAATAAAAATGAAACCAAAAAGCTTTAGGTGGCTCCCCGAAAATTAGCCTTTGCCCGTCAATTCCTCAATGTGATCGATCTTCTTTCAATAGCACCGTTTCTCATTGAAATGCTTCTCATTTTGGTATGGCTTTTAGTGCAGTATACTGTAGTGATACAAGAGATACAAGAGTCAATGTCATTAGGCTATTAGGTTAGGTATTAAGTCTTTCACTCAAATTCATTTTCTAATTGAATAAGTCTTAAGCTACCAAATGAAATGCGGTTTTTTCATGAGATAGACAAGTCATTTCTCTTCCAAATGGTTTTTGAAAGTTTCTGAAAAGCTTTGTTTTGAAGATTTTTCATTAGCAAGAATTAGCGAGTGTTCAAAAACGACAAGGTCCAATGATGCGATTTGGACCGTTTCTTCCAATTAAGCCTATTTTGATGACAAAGTAAAAAAGATAGCGCATAAAAAGTTAGATCTACAACGAAAATTTCAGAATAATCCGTTTAGCGGTTTTCTTTATGTGCTCATTTTTCTCATATTTTTAAAAATACCGGTTTTCGTTCTCGGAGATTATTCTAAAATACTAAAAATTGTTTAAAAATGACAAAAAGTAAACGATTAAGATTTATAGTGATCTTTCATTATAAATGTTCCAATGAAACCTATTTGGTCGTTTGATATTTGAAGGTTTGAGTCTCGTTCATTTAGAATGAAATCAAGGGTGCAAGACTTACTAGGGAAAGGCACGAACTTCCCGTGAGCTTTCGTTCCCGGATTGCATACATCTTACTAAATCGAGTATGGAAGATTAATAATCTGAAATCAAAATCTGCCAAATAAGCTTGCAAACCCGTAAAAATTGAATTGAAATTTCGAAGCTTTAAAGGGCTTTAAAGAATTGCAAAAAATTGAATCGAAGCTTTAAAGGGCGCTTTTCAATCAATGGAATATGTTCAGCGGTGGCCTAGTGGATAGTGGCCTCTCGGTAGTAAGGGCGGGGTTCGCCCTTACTACCGAGAGGTTTTTTTTTTCTTGGGATGTAATACTTTACCTTGTAACTATTCAATATAACAAAGCAAAAGGTGAAATGTTAACATATGTAAAACGAGATCACGAAGCATTCAAAACAATAAGAATTTTCACAATGCGAACATCTGATAAAAGCAAAGTGCGTGCGTTTTTTGCGTTTTTTTTCGAATTATGATTCACATCACAATGATCAAAGAACGGGAAAAACCTGTAAAGTATTACATTTATATTGAATAGTTACAAGGTAAAGTATTACATTTAAAGAAAAAAAACGAAAAACGACGGGAGGGACCGAACCCCGACTGTACGACCGATAGGCCGTCCCACTGCCACGGTGCCCATTTCCTAGGGATTGAAAAGCGCCCTTGAAAGTTTATCTTCGAAATTTCAATTCAATTTCTACGCGTTTGCAAGCTTATTTGGCAGATTTTGATTTCAGATTCTGAATCTCCATACTTGATTTAGTAAGATGTATGTAATCCGGGAGCGAAAGCTCACGGGAAGTTCTTGCCTTTCTCTAGTTTAGTACTCAACCTAATATTAGGCTGTCCAGAAAATCTTAAGTTTTTTCGTTCTTAATCTTAATCTTAAAATTCGTTCCTTAACATACTTTCGTTGAAAAATAACAAATTCACCACAAAACCTAGGGTTTACTCTAAATAAAGTGTTTATTGTTCAATTTCCCATCTTTTTAAGTCAATTTAGGTTCACTTTCAAGCGAATTCGAGGGTGAAAACTTGTTGGTTTTTGTAAAAATCTATAAAATCTCTACGAAGAAATTGGCTGAATCAATTTCTCTGAAAATTTGACTATTTACCTAACTTTTTGTGCACTATCTTTTATCTATTGACACGAAAATAGGTTTCCTTAGCTCACGTCTAAATCGCATCATCGAACCGTCGCCCTTTTTAACTACCCGACTTGACGCTCCCAAAAAATCCAAAAAATCCACAAGACATTTTAAATCCGTTAATGTTATTTTGCAGAAAAATAATTGGCCTTTCTAATGAAACAAACTGTAGTTCAATTGATGAATGTTTTTGGACAGACTTTCTGGACAGCATAATACTTCAGGTTGGAATCTCGGGTGACAATGTTCGAAAAGTTCGTTGGGCTTTCCTCACCGTTCGTCTTCTTCGCGTTCTTCGAGTCATTCGAATAGCAAAATTAGGCCGATTCTCGCCTGGTAAACAATTGCTTTTTTTAACGTTAATTGAAATATTTCAGGTCTTGCCAACTTTGCGTTAACAATTCGAAAGAGTAAGAAGCAAATGCAAATGGTCGGCGTGGTGATGGCCACTGTTGTGAGTGATTGTTCAATTTGAAATAGTTCACTTTGAGACGTGAACTTGCTTTGTACTGTTAATAACCTTTTAGGTTATCTTCTTCTCAACTTTGATCTATTTCTTGGAGCGAGACGAACCGGGCACAAAATTCACCTCAATTCCCGCAGCATTTTGGTGGTACGTAAAGAAAATTTGACACAATTTGACAATACAGCCCGCTGGTGGGCCGTACGTCGATTTAGCACTTTTTTTGAGGCCGATCGGGCTGAAAATTAGCGAGCAAGGGTTTTCGAGGATGACAAAAATGACCTTGTCGTGAATTTCGTTAAAGAATAAGGAGAAAATCAATTTCAGGAGTGTCGTCACAATGGCCACAGTGGGCTACGGTGATTTGGTGCCAGTGACAGTTGGTGGGTTTTGAATTTTAAACAGATTAGCGCTAGTTCAATACCCAAAATATTACGGCAAAGCTAAAACAGTAAACTTTAAACCATTTCTGTAACATTTAGCTGGCAAGCTGGTTGGCTCGGGGGCGATTGTATGCGGAGTGATGGTGTTGGCGTTACCGATTACAATCATGGTAAATTATTGATTGTAACTGTAGAAGCTTTTATTAATATTTGAATACTATTGTTTTCTAACCAAAACCGATTTAGGTGAACAACTTCATGCAAGTCGTCAAGTTGAGAGAAGAGAAAATCATCAAAAAGTACGCACAAGCACATGGAGATCAAGTTTAAAACAAAAGCAAAGCAAGATTTGTATTTATTGGATCGACCAAAAATTTTCCTCATTTTTGAGCTTATCCAAATGTGTATTTGGGTTCATTTTATTCATCATAACTTGCGTTTTTTCTTGCCATTTTTGGGTACTATACAGATTTTTATTCTTCTCAAATGTAGACTTTTTTTGGCGTGAACTTTATGCTTAAAATCAAAACGCATCCTTTCTGGTGCACTCTATCCGTAAATCATTTCTCTTGTGATACCAGGAAAAAAAATGAACTAGAAAAGCAGTGTTTTCACTTTTTGAGCATAAGGTCATGACATGAATATGTCTATTCCCTAGTCACAATTTTTTTTTGTTCAAAACTTGCAATGATCTCGAATAAATCTTTATGACCAAAGATTAGGCATTAAAAATGTTACATTAATCTGTTCCAGGGGTAGCTCACGCTCAAGGTCTTGCTTTATGGAAGAATGAAGAGGCAGACTGAGTAATTTGTTTTTATTTTACTAAACACCAGGTGGCAACCAATTTAACAAAGGCAGTTGGTAGATCTGAGTGGAAAAAAAGGACTGACAGATTCTCAAGCGCACAGACGCCACACTATTCCACACTTTCATCTGCCCGTTTCCCTCGTCCCCTCCATATCTCAATCGTCAATCTCATCTCTTTTCCTCATGCAGATGTTTCTGCCGCTTTGGATTACCGCTTTTATGTGTTGAATCGAGCAAGTCGTTCTCAAAGAACTATCGGAAATATTAGGCATTTTCTGTTTGAAGAGTGACAAAAACTATTTCTGTAATACAGCAAATTGAAAGACTAGATTTGCTTAAACTAATCAAAATCTGTGTTTTGTGAGTAAATTTAAATCGAGTCGATGCAGCAAAATCTATTGGTTCAGTCCCAAAAAGCGTCGGCCACCTGCTGTGCGCGATTTGAGGGGAATTTTCGAGATCATTCCTCCCTTTTCTTCCAAAAACAGTGTCAATTATCGTATCATGCGTGACAATTGATCTTATCGTTGCGTGTGAATGATATTTTGGGGAAAGAATGGGGAGGAGGACAGGTGAGGGCATGATTTGACCTGTTCTCTCTCCAATCAAACCATTGCAGGTGGTTGAAATCTGCGCATTCTCCTCTATTGTATCCAATATAAAGTGGATGAGGTATGGATTTGAATTCCCATAGTTACTCTTGTGCCAATAGACTTTTACGTTATTGGAGTGCAATCAAAAATCCCAGAATATCAATAATCTTTGCGTGAAACTCTATTGAAATATTTCATTGATCATTTTGTATTCTTGGCCGGTAAACAAGAAAGCAAGAGCAAGATTTATGCAAGCAAAATTTGCATAAATTCAGTCAAAACGAAGGAATGAATCATCCGCCGAAAACACATCAGCCATTGGCCTCTTGCCAAGCGAGCTGTACGTTTTACGGCACAAAAAAGGGAACACAAATCTTTTCGAAATGTTTTTTTTTGCTAAAGGAAATTTGTGGAAAGGGGAGACGGTCACGTGAGAGGAAGAGGCACAAAAATATTACACTTTATGGAATCTTTTTTGAGAGGGGAAAGGGAATTCACAAAATGGACTCACCACCACAAATCGAGACAGGGAGTGCCGGTCACACCGCTTTTCCCCTCATTGCTTATCGTTTTTTATACTGACCACTATTATGAAGTTTCATGATTGGATTTCAGGCGGGTATTTTTGAAAACTGGATTCTGAGCTGCTTTTCAAAAGACGTTTTACAATTTACAAGTTTATTGAACTCTAAGCCAGGCTGTAGACCTAGCTGATCTGATCGGTTTAGCCAGTGCCAGCCAGCCAGCCAGCCAAGTGAGCAGGCTAATTTTAAAACAAGTAAAACTATCAAATGCGAATCACTACAGCGATCCCTTATCATTATAAAGTTACAGTTTTTCGTTCCTGTTGTTGACAGAGTTTGAATAAAGAAACACATTGACAATACATCTGTTTTTCTTTAAACCATACTTGAGGTATTTTTCAAATTTTCAAACCAACAGAACCAACCGATTAATTGCCAACAGATATATTCCTTTAATTTATAACTCGTGCATTCAATTCCCCTTCACAAAACCCAAATCTCATTCAAGGTCTGGCGCCAAATTTTGAACGCTCGCTGTGACTGAAATATGCGCGCGAATTCTGCCCGCCTTTATTTGGAAAAAGAATAGCAGAAGAGAAAAGGCTCATTTATTTTGACCGGACGTGTCTCCTCCTGTTCATTCTCGCAGCTATACAAAATCTCTCATTACCTCGTTCTCTCATTACTCCGCACCATCTTCCAATTTTCCTTTTCTTTAACTCTTTCGTCTTCTCTTTCCCCAATCATTTTCCCCTCCTTTCCCCATTTCTCTCTTCTCGATCACTTTCTTTTTCTCTTCGCCCATTCTCTCCCCATCTTTGGCATCGAATCGTCCGCCCATTTTCCCGCCAAATTCTTTTCCATAAAAGGTGCTCGAGTTTGACCCCGTCCAAACTCAAATATCCTCATTTTGGCGGTTTCCTTTTTCTTTCTCCACTCCTTTCCACTCAAAATCATAAAAATGTTTGACCTTTTCCTCATTTCCAGTTTTCAGTCAGCATTTTGGCAATAAGTTTTTTTTCGGTAAAATCTTCAATTTTATGTTCTGTTTCTCAGCCCTTAATGCTCTTGTTTTACCTTCAAATTTTCAGGGCAATGTAAATCCGATTTGTCGACTGAAGGTTCCTTGTGAAGATCCGAGAACCATTCAAATATCTTATTCTCATCGACGGGACGAGGAAGTTGTGAGTACATTTTGAAAGGGAAAAAACAAAAGCAAGTATTGGCTTTCACTAGAATTAAATATGGTCCTAGCAAAACTAAAATCGGTACTTATATCTTAAAGCCTGTTTCCTGTCAGATACTGTAAAAGTTCAAGCTTAGTTTACCACAAAAAAAGTCCCGGTTTTAACGTCGTTTTTTCGTTGCGTGCAAAACTTTTCTTGTTTACTTTTTCGTTTTTGAAGGCATGAAAAGCTGACTGAATGGATGAAAAAAAGAAATGGAAGGTGAGGGGAGGGTGGGTGGAGGGGAGGGTGGGTGGAGGGGAGGGTGGGTGGAGGGGAGGGGAGGGTGGAAGTGCCAACAAACATTTCGGTCTTGAATTTCGCCAGTTTGGTCGCCATTGAAGAATTTGATCCCAAGAGAACTTTCAAAAAATTAGCAAGAATCTTATTATAGAGTTGTTACCAAAATTTATTAACAAGCAAGTGTTCATTTGGCTATATCAACTTTCGTCTGTTGCTCAGCAAAAGTTCTCCCCATTTTCTCTCTGTAATTTCTTCATTCCCACGATCGTTGTCCCGAAATGAGAGATGAATGACAAAAAAAAGAAAACTATCTTTTCTCGTGGCTGCAAGACGTTCGATTCTTTTTTCTTGCCCTTTTTTCATTTTCGAAACTCCCCTTTCCCCTTGTGCCATTCGTTTCGCTTTTCTTGCGAAACTCTCGTGTCATCATGAAATTGGGACATACGAATCGTTTTTTTCAAAGCTTTAACAATCAGAACTGGTTCATCTCTTTAAATATTTTATCCAAACAGCTTTATAAAATAAACTCGAAGCATTTGATTGAAAATCTTTTTCATAACCATAAACTTTTCAGCTCTACTCTCCACAATGATCTCAACTTGACTCAATGATCTCTTTTCTCCAAAACAAAATCTAAAGGTAAAGTTAATGTAAAATTGATTATAGACAACCAGTTTTCAGTTTTCAATCACTAGAATCCTCGTTTCCCGATCGTCGACAATGATCTTCCTCAAAGGTGTTGGGTAATTGAACCAATCGGCTCAACAAGACTTCCCGGTGATCTCCTCATTTCATTGTTTCTCAAATTGATCTCAATTTTTCGTGAAAAAAGGAGAAAATCTTAAAAAATTGAATATTAAACATTTAAAACTACGGTAATTGGATGATTTTTAAAGCTTCTCAAAGCCTCACTTACCGTAGTTTACTCACTGATCTCGCTCCAAAATGATCTCATTACGTGTAGCCGTTTGTCGTTTACCTCGACTTTTGTTTATGAAATTTTAATTTTGTCTTCATTTGCTCAATGATCTCAGGTCTTTTTTTGATTACTTTCCAGGTTTTCAAGAATTGACCGTTGTTGTAACCGGGTGTTTTTTTTGTTTTTATTTATTGTCGAGCTTGATCTCAGTTGGATTATGTTTTCATTAAAAAAATATTTTCCAACTCATTCAGGGCCCTTAAAATAGTTTTTAAAGATAGAATTAAGACAAAAATTTCGTACTTTTAAATGGTACGTTTAAATGATATGTTAAAAACCATTTTACGGACCCTGAAGTTCCCACTTTGTATAGCGATTGCGCCACGTGAGATGTGAGGGATTTGGGTCTGAGTTAAGATTGTAAAATAATAAGGAAACACACATGGAACTAAACAGAATCGAATTTTAAAGTTCAATAAAGTTTAGTTCTCTAGTTTGACGATATTTTAGCAATCTCTTTCCCAGTCCCATCCGATCCCTTTGCATCAAATGATGGCCAAGATCTCTCCGCTCTTACCTTTGCTCCTTCGTGAGCGTCTCGTTTTTGCTTTGAATGATGAAAATCGAAGGATACTTGCATATTCAAATCGATCCTAAGTTTGTATGTTTTCTATTGAAAATCTTTAACTAACATTTCCATCATTCAATCTTGATTCTTTTAACTGATGATCTCAAAGCGACCGGCAAGGCTTTCCTTGTTGTGATCGCGCCCCCACTCTGGCAAAATTTTAGGAAGCAACATCATCAACAAGAAACATCAATCTTTAGATATTTTTTACAATTTCCTTAACTTCTTTGCCAGAAATGGGGTACCACAAAAAAAACTCTTCGTCGATCCATCTTCATCTTTTTCGTTTGCGAAACATTTGAAATGGCCGACTTGACTCCGGTTGTCCGAAGCCCTAAAATGACGCAAAACAGGGGGATTTTGAGAAACTTTATCTATAAATTTAAGAGATGATCTAATGTTCGAGAAAGTTCTCTTTAAATCCTCTTTTGTCGTTTGTCTTTAGGTGCCCAGGATCTTGTGCTTTGATCTCTTGCTCTCATTTTTGTTGTTTTGGCTTCTCTGTTCATGTTTACTCTTTATTTTTCTCAATAAAGTCAAACAACAAATTGCACAAACAGAAAAACGATCACAAATAGAGGAAAATTTACAAAATAAAACTCGGAAAAAATAATTTTAATTAGAGGCAAACTGCTTTTTTTGTTGTTTAGATCTTGATACCCGCTTTCACAGAAAATCCCACAGAAAATCTCACAGAAAATCTCACAGAAAAAGAAGAATCAATGATAAAAAGTCTAGATTTGACAATGCTTACTCTACAAAATAAACTGCAGTTAATTATCATTGGTTCAAGTTGACAGTACGCCTAGAAAAAGCTGTAATTCGAAATTTAAACCAGAGAGTCTTCAGGTATAAAGCCTAGTCAATGACGTAACTAAGAATAGATTAACAACTAAAATCTCCTAAAAGAAAATCTTTGGATCATTCTTCTTCACTCGTGTAATCATCACCATGATTTGCTTTCAGTAGCTCCATTCCTTCCTGAAATTTCTTAGTCTTATTGTTTCCTGTAAGTGAAAGTCGATTTTCATGTTCTCATGATGACAAACCTCATTCCGACTTCCCCTCGACTCACTCCTTGATTTCCGAGATCTTTCGTGCTGATTCAATGCCTCGACAGCATTTCTCGCTTCTTTCATTGTCCCTCCATCAGGTGTTTGGGAAATCGGAAAAGCATAAGATATTTACATTAGGGTTGGTGAATAAGTCTTTTCATTCCTTTTCCTATCATTTTGTTTGTTCGAAACTTCTCACCTCATTATCATGTTTTCCAATCAAGGGTTCCTCTGTGCTCTTTCTCAATGGGAGTTTCGGTGACGAGAAAGGGCTTCCTTGTGAGTGGCTGTCTCGACTGAAAAACGAATAATCAAATAAGGAAACAGTATTCGAATTTACTAAATAAAATAAGATTTCTTTGAATACAGACTCTCTCTCCTTTTCTCTTTGCATCAATGAGGCTTTGTAAGCGTTGATGTACTGAGCGACGGTCACCTCCAAATACGTTGAGTCCTCCTTAAATAGTTCACTTTAAAAGTTAACAAAAGGGTTATAAAGTTATAAAGCTATGGTTAGCTTAAAGTTGTAAATGTTTCACCTTGATTACCGCCGAAAAATCGGGTTTGAACATCAAATCTGGGCGGCGCATTGAGAGATCGGTTGAGTCTGAAATGAGAAGGAAAAGTTACACAAGGAAGGAAGTTTTACATGCAAAAATAGATAGAATTAGAGGGGAAAGGGAAAAAAGAGAAAAATCACACCACAACACTATACTCATTCATTTCTTGACGAGCTTAAAAACCTCTCTCAAAGAGCGCCGAAGCGACCATTTTTGTGAGAACTTGACGAGCCGGTGACGAAGTAGGCTTTTTGGTCTACATTAACAGTAATGAAACCAATAACTTTCCAAGATCAACGTAAGACAAGAATCTTTACAAAAAACTACTTACCAGTAGACAGATCTAGAAATCAATCTATAGCACATCTTGCAATCTACGGCAATCAAAGAATTAGAGTGAAAACTCATAAATACTTTGCTCAATCTTCTCTGCAACCACTCACCAATGATACTCGTGCTTCGACTCAACGTGGCCGCTCCCTGCGTCAACTTCTGCAGAATCTCTGTGCCAAAGCAATGCCAAGGGCCTGCCTCAAACATCATGCCACCCTAGAACATAGTGTTACTCTTTGAAATGGCATTTTCTCACCTGTCCAATTGTCACGTGCACTCGTCCCTCCAATATCAAAATGAAACGATCACTAGGCTCATCTTTTGCGTAAAGCTTTGCCAAGCGAGGCACGTTGAGCTCATTGTGATCACCGGTGACTTGTGAGACTGCTTGAAGAGAGCTCAGGTCTACCTAAAATCGATACAAAATTGAACAAAATTGCCAACAAATTACCCTTCTGGCTGAATTTTTCACTAATCTCTCGAGAACTTCTTTGCTGATATATGTGTCTTTGAAGGCTTCAGTGTTCGCCACCAACCATTGCATGGCCACCTAAAGATTGATGGAAAAGTTTTGACTGTACAACTGTGCCAAAAATTTAGAGCTTTAAAAGCAGGAAATCCGATAGAACTAACCATTTGTAGATGCATACTGATCTGAATCAGAGGTGCTTCTTTGTCGAAAAAGCGTGTCATGTCACGAGGCTAAATCAGCTCAGTTAAGTTCATCACAAAGCTTTGATAGCTTCAACATTAGCTTCAATTGTCTACTCACCGCTGTCGTCATTTTTCTCTTTGTCCTATTCACATTGTCGGTGATGACATCAAACTCGTCGACGATCTCCGCTTGAAGGATCTCTTCCACAATATCCTCAAGAGTACAAACTCCTGAAAAATTTAGAATCTGTAATTGGTAGACAGGAATTGTATGAATAGAGTGTATTCCTCGAGAAAAACACTCTATTTGTGAATGGTGATGGATGGATTACTTGCGATGTAAACTAACCGACAAGCTCGAACACTTCATTGCTCATCTCCTCACTGCCACTTACCAATCGCTTGACAATCGCCAAATGGCCTTCACCCTGCAAAAATCTTTGAGTAAATTGTAAAGGAAATGTCAATGGATTTGACTGTTATATGCACCTTTTTAAAAGATTCTAATAAAACAGCCAACGGTGTATCATCACGGACATATTTCACTTCATGTTTATGGTAGCCACAGACTGAAACTTTGTTATTGAATCTTTGAACATCTTTTCACCTGTTCTAACTGTAAAATTGTCATCTGGATCGATTAATGCCAAATCCTTCACGAATAGCAAATCAGTAATATTGTTTTTGTCTCCTGAAACTAGTCATTTTTAAGAAAGATATTTCAACAAGCCATTTGCATAAACAGGTATCCTCGTGTAGCCCATTTTTATGATATTAGCGATAGTTTTTGCGTTGAGAATTGTCGTCTCTGGTAACATGAAAACATCCTGAAAATTAAAATATAAACAATAAAGTGTTTTATATAATAAACAAGTAAGAAAAGTATTGATCTGAAAAAAGAACCTCGATCCTTGTCATCACCTGTCGAACGACTTTATCAGCAAGCTCCATGGCACCCACCTGAATTCAAGCATTAACAGACATTATATACTGGTAGAATTGAAATTAATCTACAATATTATTCTCAACATAGAACCATGGCTAGCCATTAAATCGATTTCCCAACCCTTCCACCCACCGCAATCTTCAATTCATTCGATGCGAGTGCATCTTCTTTCATTGACATCTTCATCAATTCCATCAATCTTTTTCGATTATATGTTATCTGAATTTCTTTGTAAAGAGAATTTATTGTTGATTAATTTCTTACATATTCTCCTCCAAGCAGTCTATCCAAAAGTTTAGAGACTGGCCACGCAACAGGGAATGTCAAAAAGATGAAGAATTGAGTGATCTGGATTGTGTGCGCGCCGACGGCGAGACCTTTCCTGAAGTTTCAAATTGATCAGAACTGCCGAATTTTTGAGAAAGCATTTCTTGCAATTCAAAGCATCAAACTATCGTACTTGACACAAATACTTTGTGGAAGAATCTCTCCAAATATCACAATTCCAAGAGTTGATCCAATGAGGGCATAGATTCCCGATGTCAACTCTCCGAGTAAGATCGAAATCGCAGAGTTTACTGAAAAAAAAACTTTTTAATAATCAAATGCTGAATTTAATATTTTCTTTAGATATATTTATTGTTCAGCTAACCGATAACATTTCCGAGTAGAAGCGAGCAAAGCAACAAGTTCCCCTTTTTTCGAATTGGAAGGATCTTTGCCGCATATTTTTGCTCCTGAACAGAACCTAAATATTTTTAATTCAAGGTGTTCAGAAACAAAGGTTTAAAAATTCTATTTGAAATGTTATATGATCAAAATTGTTACCAGATTTGCAGACTAATTGTAACTCTTGAGTTGTCATCGACATGAGACCCAGGGTGAGACCCGAGAAAAGAGCCGATAGTGAAAGAAGAAAAGCGATCAACTGAAAAGGAAATATTTAGTGCATTCAGAATCAATAATAAAAGCTTAAGAGTTATTTTGCAGAAAAATAATTGATCTTTCTAATCAAACAAACCGGGGGTGGGACAAATGCGACCTTTTTTTTGCGCACCCGGACATTTGCGCACCTTTTTTTCCGCACCTAGCCCATTAGCGCTCCTTTTTTCGCGTTTTAAAAAAGCTCTAAAAGCTAATATTAACCAATTTCTATTCCAAAAGTTGTTTTTCTAGGTAATTTTAGGGCGTAGAATCGAAATTTTGGCATATCAGAGCTTGTGGAACCAATTTGAAAGACAAAACGGCTAGGTCAAATTACAGAAAATTGTTGATTTTTCTCTTTGTATAACTCCGTCCGTTCGCGTCCACACGCTCTGTTATGTCAAAATTTGAATTCGACGCCCTCAAATTACCTAGAAAAACAACTTTTGGAATAGAAATTGGTTAATATTAGCTTTTAGAGCTTTTTTCAAACGCGAAAAAAAGTGCGCTAATGGGCTAAGCGCGGAAAAGGTGCGCAAATGTCCGGGTGCGCAAAAAAAGATCGCATTTGTCCCACTCCCAACAAACCGTTCAATTGGTGCATTTGTTGGTTTTAAACGAAAGTACGAAAAGGAACGATAAGACTTTCTGGACAGTCTAATATAATATCAAATAGTTCAAATATCTTACTGCCAATTGAAGGGGCAAAGGCAAAAGGTATTCTTTTGGTGGTCTCTCCGTTGTGATCATAGTCGAGAAATCGTCGAGCTGAAGTCATAAATTTGTGAGATTAATTTTAAAAGTCCCCTACCGGCTTCATCACAAAATTCTCTGGAATATTCTTTGGAATAATGCACATTTTGTAGGCATGAACTTGCTCAGGTAAAAGGGGGAGTTTCTAAAAAAGAATTGAAATTGTAATTTCACCGATAAAATAAACCAATTTGAAAGCGGCTCGATGGACGAAATGTTGAATGAAATGATTGGAATGATCGAGAACTCTCGTCGATTCCAAACAGCTATTCGTGGCTGTGAAAACGATCTGGAATTAAAAATGTTAAAAAAAAGGGGTTCTAATCTTTTCTTTACAATTTTCTACACATGTACAGTTGATTGAATCAAAAAAATATCAAACCTTATCGAGCTTATCGAGATGATTCCCATAAACGACCACTTTGAACTCTTCATCCGGTGTCACAATACATACTCCGTGTTTGCTGAAATCGAGATGTTTAAAAAAATTTACTTATGAAATAAGACAGCTATGAAATATAATAGAAAGTTTGTGACTGAGAAATTGAATGTGTGAGTTGAATTTTCTTTCAGAGAAGTACTTGACTCAAACTTAAATACCAAAAAATCTCCTTGCGTAACGTGGGCCTAAAAGAGGTTTGTTTGTATATAGAAGAACTGCGAGTTAAATCAAAATTATATTTGAGAATAGCACTTACTCATATCCAAATGGATCATCGGGTGGCAGTTCGACGCGAATCCCGAAGACGACTGGGATCTTTCCGGTGAGATTTTGTATGCCTGGAATTGCTATCATTGATCTTTACTTTATAAATGTTTCCCCATCATTATTCATTAGTAAACAAACTTGTTGGTTGAAGTGTCGTTGGGTTCGTTGTTTGTTGTTGCGTCGAATTGTTCACATCGGGATTGGCTGAGGTAAGCAAATTGGTGATCCGATCGTTTGATTGCTGTGAGGTCGATAATTGTAAGAGTGATCCAAAAATGATCAAAAGTAGGCTACTTTTCAAAGTTCGATTCCGTAAACGAACTTTCATCTGAAATTTTTGTTATATGAAACGATTTGGAACGAAAGAAAGATAAAAAGTTACCGTAAATACTGTAATAGTACCCCAGCCCCATAATGACGGTGCGGAGTGTTGCGTAGTCTAGCTTTGAACGAGTTTTTCTCGACGCTGGTTTATGCTACAATGCGCGCTTAGGTATTAAAAAATAGCTGAAATTCAGGGCTATCTTTTGATATTAAAGACGCATTTTTTGAAGGTACGGATGCTTTGAAAAAAATGAAATACTAAAAAACTTTTTTGCGACTACGCGGCTGTACGACGGGGGTGCGGTACTATTACAGTATTTACGGTAGGTGAATGCATTCAAAAACTGCAAGAACAAATAAACAAGGCAAAAAGGAATCAATAAATTTCGAGAAGAACATCAAGAAAGAGAGGGATGAAAATGAGGAAGATATGACAAAAAACGATGATCAAATGGGGAGATAATTTTGGGGAAGAGATCTTTTCGAGGAAAGGAGCCCCAATAGCCCTTTTATTATTGCAACTTCTCCAGCTGGATTTTCACAATAAATCATGCTAATATCCAACTATAACCTTAAAAAGTATTTGAAATATGTCAAAGGAAAAAAGAATAGGATTCCATTTCCTGATCACAGCAGAAATCGGTGAGAAGTAAGGGGAAATTGAACTGACAAGGAGAGGAGGGAGAAAGGGATGACCTTGAGGGGAGGGAATGCATTACGCGTCTTGCAAAAGGTACACGAAAACATTGAAAAAATGATTGCTCATTTTTTGTAAACAATAACGATAAAAATAAGGTAAAAATTAAAAGAAATATTGGTAACGAATATTATGGTCAAAGATAAGTAACCTCTGGGCTCATCTTTACGAATCTCCGATCTTGCGGGCTCTTTTTTCCCTTTTATTGCCTCTCCAGCCATCTCATTTGCTAGTAATGCATGGGTGAAGAAAAGTAAACCGCAGACTTTTTCTCTTTTCTATTTTTGTGCCGCTTTTCGTGGGAGAGTAATTCTCAGAAGAAAATAACACAATTACAGCAAGGAATATTGATTTTTCTCACCTAACCACCAAAACTTCGCATTTAGAAAATCCGGAAACGATTACTTTAAACCCAAATAGGATTTGCGTTTATCTTGTACTTCAGAATAGTATAGCAAAATTTATGGCAAAGCTCGACTAAAGTAAGAATTATTCAATAATATAATTTCAAAGGAAGTTCGAGACATCAAAGTCAAAATGCTAGAAAAAGCTCAACACTTATCAGCACCAAGAAATCGACTGGAGTCTATAAAATGGGAAAGTAGCCGTGACAGTAAAAATAAGCATGATACAGAAATTCGAAGATGGACGTGAAACTTGTTTAGTATTTCAATTTAATACGATAAAATCGTTTTTAGCTTTCGTAAAATTAAATAACGATCAACTCCGAGAAGGGAAGAAAGCCAGAGTGATGAATCCATAAAGCATTTCTAAATTTGGGCAAGGATTTCGTGAAAAGAAATCGTATAAATCATTTTGCGGGAAAAAGGTGTAGGGGCAGAGCTTATGATACAAAGTGGTCAAAGGGGAATGGAGAAGGGAAAAGGGGTGAAAGGGGGAATCGAAAAGGGAAAGAGTGGACATTACATGCAGAAGATCAATGTAGAAATGAGAGGGGAATAGAGTGTGCAAATGGACAAATGGAAAAGGAATGGAAAAGTGGGGGAAAGAAAGGAAAAAGAAGGCGAGATTAGGCTCCCGGCAAAGGAGGAGAGGGGAAGGGGTTCCCGGTCCCCTTTGAGCGGCCTTACTCTCTCTCACTTTCCCCCCTTGCCTGTTCAAACTCCTCTAAACAACATAAACAACACTCTTTCTCATTTTTTTCATTTCAATCTTTTTTTTTCTTGGTTCTCGTTGGGCTCAAGGCGGAAGCTTCAAAATATATGAACCGACGAATGAAGCGATAAATCTCAGTTAAAACAGAATATTTTGTAGATGGCGATAAAATAATAATATTAAGATTATTTATTCAACCCTCTAAGGAAATCATTTCTGATTCTTCTTTCATTTCGATGATATGTCTCCTCCAATTCAGCTACACGATGCTTTTGTTTGTCAACTCTTTCCTGAAACGGATTCCCATTGGTTTCTCTCATCATTTGCTTACTCGATGTTTTTGTTCTTCTTTCTCTAATTGTCTTTCGATTTGTTCAATTGCCAATTGAAGTCGAGAAAGTTGTTCATCGGTTGGCAGAGTTAACATCCCGAGAAGACCTGGAGGTAAAATTGCCAGTGGTATTACAGGGTCAGTTCCCAAACCTTGATTATCGTCAACTTCTTCTTCATCAAGCAGCAGTTTGGCTCGAAGCATTTCTCGCGCTGAAATTGAATAAAGGTTTTAAGAAACTATTAGATTTGCAACTTGAAAGTTGGTACACTTTTTCATATTTTCCAGAAAACATATTTAATACGCCAATTGAATTAGACTTCTATAAATAAAAGTTATATATTATCTAATTTAAGACATGCTTAAGCAAATTTGGGTAACTTTTGAAACGAATTTAAGCAGAAATTCAAGTTTTTCTGAAAATTCTGCAAACAGACATATAACTAAAGCAATTAGACAAATCGAGCTGAGAATTCGGCTATATCCCTAACTTTTCATGCTCTATCTTTTTTCTATTCACATCAAAATAGGTTTCTGTGGAAGAAAGTGCTCAAATCGCTTCATCGAGTGATCATCATTTTTGGTTCCTCAACTTCTTGCCTCCTCTAAACCTACGAAAAAGAAGCTTTTCTAAATCTGTCAAGAGCCTGTTTTAGAGAATAAATGGGCCTTTTTATTGGTAAAAACTGTAGATTAATTGGTGCACTAGTTATTTCTAAAAAGTGCAATGAATAAGTGTACCAACTTTCAAGTTGCCAACCTAATAGAAATATTAGGGGTTTGCAAAAGAAACTGCGCATGACTTTCCGGAGCAATATTTTCTCTATTTGAAAGTGCTCTAACCCAGTTTAAATTTTATTCTATTGTGTTGATAACTCTTATTTATTTTACTGATTTTCACATTTGTTTGACCATTGAATTATAAATAATTTTAGTTGTCGAAGATGACGGATCAAAAATTCGTTTTGCGGGCTTGCCTTCTCTATGACTTTAAAATGAAGAAATCAGCATTGCAGTCGCACCGGAATCTTTGTGAAGCATTTGGAGAAAACGTTTTGAGTGAAAGAAGTTGTCAGGAATGGTTCCGGCGTTTTCGTGAAGGAGATGAGGGCTTGGAAGACAAGCCCCATGGACATCGTCCTGTTGTCCTCGATAATGCGGAGTTGCTCGAGGTTGTCGAGTTGGATCCAACTCAAACTTTGCCCGAATTAGCCGAATACTTTAAATGTGATTCGAACACAATTTCTCGGCACCTTGCGCTTATTGGAATCGTTGTGGCCAATGGGTTCCACATGAATTATCCCCTGAAAACAAAGCCAATCGAGTTTTATGGTCTCGGTTTCTATTGAAAAAGGCTACGGGCAGTGCTTTTTTGAAAACATGTTGATGATGGACGAAAAGTGAACATATTCCAATAATGCAACACGCAAAAGACAATAGTTGAGTAAAGGATAAAGGCCGATTCCGACATCACATCAAAAACTTCACGGAAAGAAAGTTATGCTCTCGGTCTTTTGGAATATGAAAGGAATCGTTTATTTTGAATTACGAAAATCTTCAAAAACTATAACTTCTCAAATCTACACCGAACAGCTGAAGAAAGTTGATGAAATTCTACGAGAAAGAGGTGTTAATCCAAGGACCATCCATTTACTCGCTCACAATTTCCGGGTACACACATCAAACTTGGCTCAAAACACCATAGAAGAATTAGGCTGGAAACTTCTGCCTCATCCGCCATATTCCCCTGATATCGCTCCCTCAGATTACCACTTGTTCCGATCTATGCAACACTCCCTTGCAAATCAACAGTTTAACAATTACCAAGAAGTCGAAATTTGGGTGCAAGACTATTTCGCGTCACAAGATCCGGAATCTTTCGAATCAGGCATCCGAAGTCTACGTAAAAAATGGAAAAATATAGTTGATAATTTTGGCGAGTACCTTTTGGAATAAAGTCTTTTATTATTAATTTTCGAGGTGTTTGAACGTTGCGTATAATACGCAGTTTCTTTTGCAAACCCCTAATAGATTGCTATTCATTTGAATCAATAGTATTAATTAGGATATTTTTCTACTCAAGAAACAAACCTTTAGCATATAAATGATCTCTCATTGATGGATATTCGACAAGAACAGCCGACACGTCTTCTTGAGCCAAAATATAGATATCGGCAAAGCCAACCGATCGAACCGAGACTGCACGACGATCTCCTAAGCATTAGAGTTTTAAAAAGATCTATCCAAAGATGTATAATTGATATTGTCTTACCAAGCAAATTCCCAGCCACATGTACAACAGAGAGCTCCCCGAAAGTCGACCCTTCACAAAGAACCTAAAAAAAATTGTTTTGAAACTTTTAGAACTAACCTCAAGTTCGACAACAGAATCCGGATTGACATCATCGATCACGGAAAGTCGGCCACGTTTCAGAATAAACATTTCCTAAATTTAAAGATATTGAAAGTCCCAGTCAGTCTAATGGGTTTTGTCTTTACCTTTGCCCGATCCCCTGTTCGGCAAATATAATCTCCCGGTGAGAAGACGTGTTGCTGCAAACGGAGCACCAATTCGTATAAGAAATTCACTTCACAATCCTAGATTTTACTTAACTTTGTGTTTGGCTATGATTTTTACCGCGAAGAGCTCGACTTTTTGTAGGGTTTCCATATGGAGACTGACAGCGATTTGACCGGTTAAACGAGGTGGAAGAACCTCGAGAACATCCTGAATTAAGAAGATTTCAACTAAAAATCCGTTTCTTTTGACACTGACCCTTTCATCAGTCAATTGATTTTGCGAGGCCATGTAGACAAAACAATTCAGCACTCGATCTTGGATTGCCGGGTTGACTTTTCTGGAATGAAAACAAATTCCAATTTGTTGATTTAACCAAAAATATGTTGAATCTGAGTTCAGAATACCGATATTTCATGTAGAATTTGATCGCATCCATCTTTTCTTGATAGTCGGCTCTTCTTTTATTCATCACTGACACCACATTACCCACCGATCCTTTAATGATCATTGGAAATTTGTTTTCATTGGAATATTTAATCTTACCAATAATCACTGAAAAGACCATGAGACCGATCAAAGTGTCCACACATTCTAACATGTTTTGTGAAGAGTTCTCAGGCCAAGGCTGCAAAGTTTTCAAAGGTTCATTTGAACTTAAATAATATTGGCACCTGTTGTCCGCATGTAGTGATTGTCAATGAAGACCAATAAATGCTCATACTGTACTCGCGGGTGAAATTCGAGAATGTCCACTCCGAATAGCTAAAATTTGAAGAATTTGTTGTCCACTAGGGGAAAACTTTATGAGAAATGAATTCTAATACTTACCCTCGTCCTCTCCAATATGTCATCAGTTCCTCGATGTACGGGGTTCTACAAACAATTTTATTCATTAGGTTTAAAGGTTTACGGACCGATCCAACGGCACCGTCTCGTCCGGGTCAAGTAAATCGAATTTGACTTCATTGTAGGCACAAGTCTCATCAGCATCCTCCAACAGAATGTCACATGTCGGGATCACTGGGTTAAAAACTTTCTTGTATGAGAAGACAAAGCCTGTGTCGGTGGCATCTGAAATTTAAGAATTTAAGCGCAAATTCTCGAAATTGTCGAAACTTATAGGTCTCGTTTGAAGTAACACCTATAAGTACAATTGTCTAATACTTACTTGTTCAAAGTTTTATTATAAAGAACTCACTGTCGATGCCTTGCATGATCGAGAAGAGGAAATAGATACACGCATTCCAATGAAATATCACATAGCATGTGAACACCACCGAGAGAATCTAGAAAAATATTTCTAACAAGTATAATTGTAAGTAAATTTCAGTACAAATGAGTACAATTTTAAGTAGATTTCAGTCATAGATGCTTAATCGAAATTTCTCACCCGAAACGCCGCGGGAAAAGGAATGATTTTGATGGTGTAAGCGTGGAATTCCATGATACGATATGTCTGGAAAAAGATCACAATCGGATTCATTGTAATAGCTTTTTAAAATTCTTTTATACCTTGAAAAGCCTCGTCACTCGTACCACTGAAGCTGAAGATTGAATGAGTAAAAGGAGATCGAGGGGAACGAGGCAGAGAAGATCCAAGATTAGACGAGAACTAAATGCGCACTTTGGAACAATGCTGTGTTTTCTAAAAGGCCCCTATTTTAGAAAACTACAGTAAACAATTGTAAACTCATGAAAATGATGAATATGCAAAAGAAAAGATTTACCTGCTCACATAATTCTTCGCGATCATTCGAATGCTTTCGACCGATGAACCATCCAACAGAAAAGTCGTTCTAAAACTTTTAATATAGAATAAAGGTGGTGAATTTTTGAAGAAAAGTTTAAAGTAAACGTTTCCCTTGAAGCCCACCTGGATTGCACAAAGATATCGATGACGAAAAGCGCATCAAAAAACGAGTTCATCACGAGCCACTGCTTGAAATACCCAAAGAAGATGTCATCAAAAATGAAAATTGATAACGCCATCATGTTATATAAAACCTAAACATTTCGAGTCGTTGGGAAGAATTGTAAGCCAAAATACCCCAATGCTAATAAGCGTTGTCCAGAAGTAATAGAATTGACCATTTGGATCAACGTAGAAGCAGATTATGTCTCTAAAAGTGGAATAAAATCTCTTTTTATCTTATTCTTCTACTTACTTAATGCATTTTATAAATTCATCCATGATTTTTGTCATAAATGATGGTTGATTTGGTTCGGGGACGATCGGGGGAAGATTTTCATCGACTTTTTGAGGAGTGATTGCATCATTTTGGGGAAGAGGTGCCGCTTGTTCGGTGAGTTGAGTCCGTAAAGCCTCAAAGCATGTACCGTATTTATCATGTACCGTATTTATTAGCATGTACCGTATTTGGCATGTACCATATTTAGTATGATTAGCATGTACCGTATTTATTCTAAAATAAACTATTTTGCGGAATGATTGACAAATAGAATCAATACGGTATTTGAATTGCCAAAGACCTTTCGCTTATCTTATATTTTATCTATTTTTTTTTATCAATAATCAAAGCTTACCGATGGTAATTGAAAGACAGACGACGGATCGATTTCACTTCTCTTTTCTGTTTCATCCGATGTCGAGATTAGCCAATTTCTCACCAACTAAAGAATAACAATTAATGTTATCGATTAATAGCAATTCTTTTTCCCTAAACACTTACAATAGCAGCTTTTGCAACCCGAGAGAAACTGCGTCGTTTCTTGCCGATTTCGAGATCACTGAAAATCTTATAACAAGTCTTAGGTCAACAACTTGAATTACAAATGATTAAGGGACAAATGATTCATACGCTATTCCTGGTATTCTTGAATGAATCAGTTTGCTTTTCTTACCGACTGTCTCCCGATACTGAATTGATATCCAAACGTGATGGTTGAGCTTCGAGACGTCTTTGATGAGCGTCCTGTAATTTGCACTGGATATGACAAAGCTAATGCATTATTTTGACTTTGGAGATACTGAAAATAACTCCTGAAGAACCTACCCCAACCTTTCCCGGATATCCCAGTACATAAAGGGGTTTCGGGTCGTGTTTATCCGTTTCCTTCTCATTACGGGGCATTACAGAGAAAGTTTGATTTCAAAAATTTTGAAATAAACAAGTTTTCACTATTTGTTAGCTATATCAAGTTATCCAGTTACTTTTGCGGATATTGGGGGAAATTGGTGATCATCCCCCTTTTTGAATACAAATACTCCCCCAATTTCCCTACCGGTTTTTTTACTCCTTTTTGTTGATCATTTTCGATCAAATTCCTTGCATAAAATTCTCTCATTTGTTTTCTTTCGGTTATCTCTCCATCTCCATCTCCATCTCCATCTCTATCTCCATCATCATCTCCTTGTTCTTCCTCTTCTTCAACATAGGTATTTCTTCTAGGGATTACATATCCACTCTCTCTTGACATCATTCGTGGTAAACGACCCGTCAAATCTAAACGGTAATAATCCAGATTTTTAAACATTTCAATTGAAGAAGGTTTTCGTAACACAAAAACGATGTTCTTGTTGTTAACCTCCTTTGGTGAGCCGTCTCGATGAAAGTTTTGAGGTTGATGGTGCGCCTGTTTCGAGATCCACATTCTGGCTAGCTACTGAAAAAACAACTGTGATAGTATGCTCGAACCACAGTCCTTAGGACCAAAAAGCTTCTGGGCCTCTGGATGGCTTCTGGAACTGACCTCTGACCTTGCCTAGGGTCTGTAAAACAGATTGTTTTACAGACCCTAAGACTTGGACATCAAAATTTCGATTTAATCTGGTAGAACTCTGGGTCAAAGCAAATAGTATGGGTTATGAAATGGAGAAATGGACAAACCCTTTCTAGCAGTTGACAACTGGGAATCCTTCTTGGATTGTGAATGAAAGCCGTGATCTCTCGATGAAATTGGCGGAGAGTCCATCTATGATATTTCTAAAGAAATTGACAATTCAGAAATGACAAAAATGACAAAGTAACGGAAGTGTTTTATTGAAAGAAATGCTTCTTTTCTCTCTTTTTTCAATTTTTCAAATGGTTGTCATGGAGTGTCTGTGTGTATGAAAGGGGATCATCTCCTCACTCATCTTCTTTTCTCGATAATTAAACTCGTTTCTTCTTTGAAACCATTGAGATACCCAATGATCGGCAAAGTACCGCAGATTTGTTGAGAACAGATTTGTTTTTGATTTGTTGAGAACACAGATTTGTTGAAAATTCAAAAACTGACAAATTTCTTTGAAAGATTACGGTCAATTTCCAAGTTACCAAAATTTTTTAGGAAGCGCAGTAGAGATTGTCTACTTTTTGTACCAGCTTTCTGCCATAATTTCCGAACTTCTGAACATGAAAGTTGGCTTGATCGAGTGGTTGAGGGGAAAGAGAAAAAATGTCATTTCGACTGGATGTTTCTTCTCTTTTTGCCTTTTCCCTTTTTTGGTCTCCTCATTAGTTCGAGGGGAAATCTGATTGTGACTGGAAGAGGAGAAGGAAAACAAATCAAAAAGAGAGGGGAAAGAGGAGAAAAGAGAGAATTGAAATTGAGCTCCTTTTTCCCTCTTCTTTTCCCTCTTCGCTACAATTCCAGTACTTGGATCTCTCAATCATATCCACTTCCCCTCAAACGATATTTGTTTTTCATTAGAACACAAAAGATCTCTTCCAGAATTCGAATATATATAAGTTTTTTTGATATAAAAGAGTATTTCTAATATCTACTTCAGCCACAATTTTTTTGTGCCATTTTTCAAGTAAGCACAAAAAATTCTCACCTAATCAAGATGAGCAGAGAGAACGAGTATCGGTGAAGATTTATCTCCATTTTGTTCTCTTCAATTTCACAGTGAGATAAAGAGGATTGAAAACATTGGACACTCACCAAAAAACAGATAAAGGGGATCCGAGGGTGGATCAGGGGGACGGCTATTTCTGTCCCCGTCCCCCTCCCTGGCCAGGATGTCAGTTGTGTCTCCCTGTCTCTCATCAATGAATGATCTCCTCTTTCCATTTTCCTCTCACTCAAAAGTTTCTCTTGTCATCTTTCACCTATCCTTTTTTTTCACCGAGTCATTCCTTTTCTTTTCGATCCTTATCATCACACGGAAACACACACCAGCTATTTGTTGAGGTTTTCACAATGGTTTACCGCCGAGATAGGTAAATCCGGTACTATCAGCAATATCCCAGCTATCTTTACTGTATTATGCAGTTCAAGTTTAGCTATGCTTACTTACTTCATCACCTCATCAAACTTGTTCTCGAAAGCTTTTCCAAGAATCGTTTTTGTTTTCTCCTTTCTCTACTTCATTCTCCGAAACTTCAAATGCTCTTTAATGAGCTCTTTTTGAAGTAACCAAGCAGTCAAATTCTTCCAGCTCTTCACCGTTGCCAGCTAATTTTTTACCTAATGAACTTCGCCAATGTCTCAATTTAGTCTCTATCGCTGTTTTTTTTGCTGCTTATTCTAAACTTTCATGAAACTGATGTGAAAAGTTCGTATATTCAATATGATAAAATTTGATTGTTAACATTTCTCTTTCCTTTTACTTGATGTTCACCTCTTCTTTCCATTCTTATCCATCTTTGTGCTTTCTTTTCCCATTTTATCTCCTTTTTCTCAAAATTCGTTCAAGTGGTTTCTCTCTAAGCAAAAAAGGGAATTTCATTGGCCTCTCATCACCAAAAAAGAAAGTCCAAGAAGGGCCACCTCAAGGAATTTACATTTTCCTTCTTTTTTTTCCTTTCACTCATCATTTCCCTCCTTTTTGAGAAATGATTCTTCATCAATAACACTGAATATTCTGCACTCATCAAATGCTTTTTCTAGAATTTATCAGAGGTGCTCAATTGCGTCAAAAAAAGCCGCTTCTCCCCTTTCATTTCTCATCTCGCATTCAACTTTCATTATTTCGAAGAAAACAAGGAGAAATTCATTGCCAATTCGTCTTTCCATCAAACAATTTGGTTGGTTTTAAGCAAAAAGTTTTTCGATACAATCTTTTCACGCAATTACATAATGCACAATCATTTTTTCGAATTTAGAACAAGACCGATAATTTCTATGAAGTGCAGTGATGTTTGATGAGGAGCATGAATCAAAATGATCGGCCATTTCATTGTCTCCTTGACACCGTTCATTGCAAGGTTCGTTGGGAAGTTTGTGTGTTGTTTATTCAACAAATTATATCACAAATGCAAAAACCTGTATTTATTTTAAATCATTTTTCATACATTTTCAATCAAAGATCAAATTGAATAAGGAAAGCGGTTTATCTAATTTTCGGCAATAATCAAGCTTGATAAAGACAAATATTTGTCAGATTGTGACATCAATTTTGCCTAAAAAAAGGCTTTTCACTAAGGAAAATTGGTTTAATTCTGTTCATTGTTGATAAAAGTGAAATCGACAACCATTTCAGCATGTCTTCCCGATTGTATTGGGATATCACATGTTCACGGCAATTTTCTTCTCATATATTCTTTTCCCACATGCACTCCTTATGACAATACCTGGTGAGTTAAAAATAAGAAGTGCGGTACTGCGAATTAATGCAATCATTTACTCATTTTCCAGCTCTAGCAGTGTGTCTCTGCGCCACTTTCGGTTTCCTTCATCACCACCCCCAACTTCTTGTGCCTTTTCGCATTTACGTGGTTGGTGGATAAAATAGATAAAATATTGAATAGAGAAATCTGTGACAATCTATTACTATTTAATTACTTAATTACTTAATAACTTAATTTACAGTACATTTCGATCTTCTTCTTGCTCTTTCTCGGTCTCTACATGTTTTTCATCAGCGTTTTTGAAAAGCCCAAACACGAGGGTTTGTTTGTGACTCTTGTATAATGAATAAATTATGTTCCTTATGATTAATGCGCTTTCTAAAGCGTGCTCTTCAAAAAGGTTACCGTAATCATTTTATATGAAAATTGAAACTTTTCATTGATCATTTGCTGGTGTTTTTCTCAGTGCGAGCTTATTGAGAGCTTATAATCTCTTTATATCTATTTCTACAGTAATCATACTGTAGAAAAAGATATAAAGAGATTATAAGCTCTCAAATAAAACTAATATTTTTACAGCATTATCACAAAAATTGTTCGCCCCATCACCGGAATTCTTCTCCTTATGTTTCCATTTGGTTTCAAATTTGGCGACTCTTTTCGATCTGTGGCAACTTCCACTCATCAACACTACAGCAAAATACCTCAACTCTTTAAATGATGGTTAATCTTGGGAATATAATTCATTGAATTCATATAATAAAACCTTTTAATTATCTAGATCTAGATTTAGATCTAAACCTAGATTTAGTATAGCCTTGTAAAATTGTTAATTCAAATTCAATTAAGTTTCTTAATGATAATCGATGAATGAATGTTTCCATTTCAGGAACAGAGCCTTGTGTGATCCAGTTGCCTGTCATTCCCGATGCTCTCAGTGCGACTTTCGTGTAAATATTTTTCCAATCAACCAATTTCACGAGCTAATGGAATAAATTTATCGATTACCCGTAATCATTTCACATTCGATTCCAAACTCAACATGTTTTCCCCTCAAATAATCTCAATCGTTTCCAATAATGAAGGGGTTCTTTTCGTCGATTCATATGGAGTGAATAGGAGAGATATGAGCCGTTCACACAATCATACGAAGGACGATCGAAGAATGAAAAACCCTGAATCAAGTTTATTCCATTATGACTAACGATAAGTATCATTCTATCGTCGCAAACTTTAGCCAAACCTGTAAATTTTCTCGTTCAACACCGGCCATCTCAGCAAATATTCCCGTAAACAAAACATCCTAGGTTCTTGTTATGTTTTGAATTCTTGTATATGTTAGGTCCTGTTTCGAACGGGACGTCCGAAACCGAAGGGAGTTTGCTTTCGTTCAGTTTCTTTTAATTTTAGGTTCTATTTTTGTTTATATAGGTGCAAAAAGGTGCAAGTTAAACTAGTTAAAGTTAAACTAGTTAAAACTAGTTAAACTGTTTACCCTCCTCTAAGTACTTTAGGTCATCCGGGTAGAAGTGTTCATTTAGCTATTTTAGTTTACATTGTGCCGGTGGCAAGTGGCAAAAAAACCGATTTTTCATCATTTTTCAATCATTTTTTCTAAGCGCTGGTTAATTCTAAAAATATGTGTTAGATCTCAAAAAATCACCCATCCTCTCTACTTTAATTTGATACCCAAGCGCGTAGAAACAAACGTACTGATGTCGAGATATGAGCGTTTGTTTTAGAGTAAACTTAGATTACGCGACGCTCCTATAGGAGGGCTTCTATTAGAGTATTTACGGTATACAAACCTCCGAAAGCATTCGCATATTGGAAGATTGAAAGAAAATGGCATTCTTTGTAGCCTGAAATATATTTAATCGCTTTTCACCACCCGACAAACTTGAGTGATGAGTGAAGCAGTTTGACTCCCGGTGAACAAGTAGATTCCCGTTGAACAGTATTGTGGATATCTAGGATTTCTTTATTTTTTGTGCACTCATCGATCTTGAGATCGATCAATTATGGAGCAATGCAAAGATTTAGAGTGCTAGTGTTTACTTGGAAAATGGATAGACATGCAATGGTACGGCCCATTTACTTCCCCGTCTCATCACTCGACGAGACACATCACATCTGCCCATCACACGGCTTTTTTCCCCTGAACTTGCCACTTTTCGAATCTTCTATCACTTCTTTCACCTGTACTTTCGCAAAGTTTTTCGAAATTTTGAATATTCATTACATTATCCGAGTCCGATTTAACCAAACATTTTGCCCGCGGACACCTGAATTTCAAATGAAATAATGGAAAATCAAATATAGAAAATCAATCACTCTATTCAAATGAAATAATGAAAAATTTAAAACCTGTGATGTTTATACTGCAGCAAGGCAAATGTCTTCATCGAAAGATTATAATAATTTTCATGAATATCCGTCAAAACGATGTCATTGTGCAACTCGTTTTCACTCAGCAAAGATAGCGATGCTTGGAAGTTTGATTGCTAAAAGATCTTGAATTTAGCTCACCATTTTTCTCACCTCAACACCCATTAAGAATAAAATGCGAGTCTTGCGTTTGTCATAGTTTTTTAGGTTTCCCCAACTTTCACGAATCGTTTGGCGTAACTGAAATCTTGATTGAATATGCGCTTTGAGACTTAAAAGTCTTAAAGGTTTACCCGAGATTCGGTTGGTCTTGAGACGATCATTATTAAAAAATTCGTTTCATTTGAGCAAATCGGTTCTTGAGGCTCAAGCAAGAATTGAATGTCTGAAGAGAGGGGAATGGATTGATCAGCTAAAATTTCATGTTTTTCACTTTATTCTTTAAGTTCAACTCACGGTTTGTGAATGGGAGATCATACTTCTCGAGGAAGAGAAAACGAAACAATGGAAACAAAAATAAAGCTGAATTGGGAATTCACTTTATTTAAAGCGTTGCAATTAACGGTTAATTTTTAAAAACAAACCAACTATCAAAATGAGATGGCTGGGCAGCAGTAATCGACAAGTGAAAGGTCTCAATTTGTTTCGAGAATTCGAACGATAGACAAAGGGCTGTCCGATTGGGTAAAGCATTCAAAAAGATGAGTGAGATTAGTTGAAAAGTCGCATGATTATGAATTGAGTACAAACTGAGGTGTTGAATAAATCGATTGGTGAGAAGGCAAGAGATGGATGAAAAACGGAGACGAGATCTCTATCTACAACAGCCACCTCAATGAGAGCTCGACTCTTTGACCAAGAGCTCGACATAAAGAAGTGTCAATAGGATAGTACAATATACGACAAATATTTTGTAGCAGTCAGTAGGAGCTGAAGCTTGAGCTCGAGCCGATGAAACTATAGAAGACAGAAGGTTGTTGATTCGATCACCCTATTCATAAAGCTTTGAACCGTTTGATCTTTATCCGAGTAGCATTTTTTGACGTTTTTTCTACAAACATTATAGTATTTTGTGTATTTTATTACCGTTGTGACTTGTATTCTCAAAGATGATAAGATTTCTTCGAGGAGAGGTGTCAAAAAATCAGAAAAGGGCTGAGCTGGTCGAGAATGGACGAGAGGAGTGTCAACATGGAAACAAACAGAGAGAAAAAGAAAGACATAACTTGGAATGGCCTTTGCCTGTCCTCCCTTCCACAACCCCTATTTCGTGCACGTTTTGAACCTTTCGTTTATCAGTGAACCAATTGCTGATTATTTCTTTTGACAAGCTTCGGTGAGTCGGTACTCTTATGCTCTTGATCAAAATATGGCAATTTCATTTTCATTGAAATTCCTTTGTATCAACTACTCGGCCTCTTGCTTCTTCTTAACACCTGATGATAGAAATTGAACCTGATATCTAAACATTCCGATCAATTCAGTCAACTGTTTGAGTTGATCCATTCTTGGCCTTTCCTCTATTGAAGTTCACCATCAATTACTTGTTGAATCTGGTCGGTCAATTGAAACTTGAGACTATTATGAGAACGGCTTTTCATTGAATGTTTGAGTAAATTCTTTTTCCGAGTCTCAATCTGACCACTAATCTCCGTCATCAAATTGGTTTTTGTTTCAAAAGCGTTTCGGAAAAATGGAAAAGGAAAAGAAAGAGAGTTTGTGGTGGTATTCTCGGGTAGAGACCATCAAGTCTAAGGAGAAGTCGACTCAAATCAAAACTGACTGAGGGAAAAGGTGAATGGACATAGAAAAGAGAAATTCTCTGTTGACCGAGGGCTCGGCACTGCCGTGTACTTGGAGGGGAGATGCCGGAGAAGGCAAACGAGAGGGAGAGCAGACTCAGTCACTGTAGAGGTCTCTCCTTTCCCTTTCACCCAAATCTTCTCCCGGAAACTCCTCTCATCATCTTCATCATTTTCTAGAAGATGAGCCTCCCCCATTCCCCGCACTCACATCGATTCATTTCGTATTTTTCGGCACAAACGAGCTCTACCCCTTGACGACAACGATTTCCAGGATCGACCCACCCGCACAAACGACACCCTTTCTAAGCTTTGTTTCTACTTTTGATCGACTCACGACCACTACTGTATCCAGTGATTATCGTGGGTAGATTATGAAGCCTTTACTAGGAGTTGTTGCTAAGATTTAGCCTAGGTATCCACTAAAACTTTTTTCTTGGATTTCTAAGAAAAGCTATTTTCGCGCCGAAAATCGGAGATCGACCTGGCCACACAGTTACTCTCATTTTCCTTTTTACCGTGCAGATCTCTGGCAGAGAGGTTATTTGGTTACCAAACAAAGGGTAAAGAGTTGACGAGAGGAGTCTCCTTTTCAACAAAAAATTCTCGGTCCACTTGCTTCTTTCCCCGTGCTTTTCTCTTTTTATTTCTTGTCTCCAAACATTTTTTACTTTCAAGTAACCGTTAGCTTTGTTTCTACTAAAAATTGACCAAACTTGTATTTTTGGTGAAATTGAGCTTAAATGAGCTGGAATTGGCATAAGGATTGGAGTGATGGTGAGTCGTTTTTTAAAAGACTAAATGTTTTTTACAGTATTGTTTTTCGGCGCCATATCAAATGTGGGATGTAGTTAAAACAGCGCGATAATAGAAAACTTCCAAAAACAGCGCCATTCTCACAATCCAAAAAACCAAGCCGGTTCAAATTTTATACCAAAAAAATTCCTTGCGTTCTTGGCTAAATGATGAGTGAAACAAATTTTTTAAAAGTTAATATTTCATAGATAACGTTAGCGTTCAAAATGTATGTCGAATGAGGGAGTGGGACAAATGCGACCTTTTTTTTGCGCACCCGGACATTTGGGCACCTTTTTTCCGCACTTAGCGCACCTTTTTTCGCGTTTTAAAAAAAGCTCTAAAAGCTAATATTAACAAATTTCTATTCCAAAAGTTGTTTTTCTAGGTAATTTTAGGGCGTAGAATCGAAATTTTGGCATATCAGAGCTGGTGGAAGCGAACGGACGGAGTTATACAAAGAGAAAAATCAACAATTTTCTGTAATTTGACCTAGCTGTTTTGTCTTTCAAATTGGTTCCACACGCTCTGTTATGTCAAAATTTGAATTCGACACCCTCAAATTACCCAGAAAAACAACTTTTGGAATAGAAATTGGTTAATATTAGCTTTTAGAGCTTTTTTAAAACGCGAAAAAAGGTGCGCTAATGGGCTAAGTGCGGAAAAAAAGGTGCGCAAATGTCCGGGTGCGCAAATGTCCGGGTGCGCAAAAAAAGGTCGCATTTGTCCCACTTCCTCGAATGATACTCTGAAGATATTCAGTTGGTTAACTGAATCACTTTAGATACTCCCAAGAACGCAGGGAATTTTTTGGTATAAAACTTGAACCGGCTTTTTGGATTTTGAGGAATTGGGGGTGGCTACTTTGCGCCAATTTTTTTGCGCAAAGTAGCCACCCCCAATTTCTTACAATCCACAATCATAAAGATTGGTCGGCTTAGAAGAAAGTTATGGCGAGTTGCGCAAAAGGCCTAGTTGCGCAAATGGGCCAGTTGCGCAAATAAATTTGGCGCAAAGTAGCAACCCGCGAAAAATATGGCAGCGGGCGCTGAACGTTTTCTATTGTTTTAACTACATCCCTCAAATGTACTTCATTCCAAGTCGAGTGTTGATTCGCGTAGCTTTTTCAAGAAATATCAATTGTAAAAGGAAGTGCCAGAGTTTTTGTAATAATCCTTGGCCATATTCCCTTCTCAATCTTCACATTGAATTTTTGGAATTTCGCTGACTCTTGCCGCTTTCTCGTCAATAAAGACTAAACTTTGGATTTCCGATCTTTTCATTTATTGCCTTCAAAAGTCTTGTCTTTTATTTATCATTCGAATATTTCTGTTCTCAGACATGGACATTAAATGAACAATTTTAAAGAGACATCACTGATCTTTTCCATCCATTTTTATGTCTGACTAGATGGGAAGACAGAAAGAAAGACTGGGGCAGGGGTGGATGAAAATGACATCGGATACCTTCTGTTTGGGGGGTACCCATAGAATTGATTATGGGGAAGCGGTGGCTGCACTCGACGCACAAGGTATTCCCTCCTTCCCTTCCGTCCTCCGGTTTGCCTTCAGTTGACACAAATTTCTCACTCATTTTACCTGGTGTTTATTTGAACGAGCTGTTATTTATTTGCTTGGTTTATTTTCGCCGATAGTTTTTGAACGATGACAACCCTTGTGATTGAGGATCCAGCAGCGGCCAATACCCAACAACTCTTGCAAATGACAGGTAGCTGGAGAGTGTTTTGGTAAACTTGTGAAGTCTTGTTATAGATATTGTGGTACAGTTCTCGAGAAAGTCAAAGTTCATGGCTGACGTTGGAATTCACAAAAAGCCTTACTCATCTATTTGTAAATTTGTTAACTCACTATCAGAAGCTGTTTCAGTTTGGATGAATCGAATAGTTCAGCTCAGGCTTAGGCTCGCTTACTATTAGCTCAGTAGTTGTAAAGTTGTCATTGTCATCATCAAATTTTCAGAAAATAGCATCTAGTATTGGATTCGATCTCTGACTCTGACTAAATGATGAAATTTCTCCGATTAAACACCTTTGATATCATTCTCCAACCATCCTTCTGCACGTTTACCTCTGTTCCCAACGATCATAAACAATTCTTGTTTTGATGGTCTTCCAAAATTTCAGAAATAGGAAAAGTTTGTTGTTCTCAAGAGGTGTGGAAGTAAACTCTTTTTATTCCGAGAAATCTCCTCGCAATCTATTGACTTGTTGCTCTGACTCTGGGAAAATCTTCCTCTTTACTTTATTTGCCAATGAACTCTGAATCCAGGATCTTTTCGTGAAATCTTGAGCTACTATGAGATTCTTCAACACGCTTGTGTAAGTTTTGAGAATGATCTCTAGGCTTTGAGAGTGATCCGTAGACAAGGCTCAAACAAAATGGCTCGTTTCACTTCATTGCTATTCTTGTTCTCTCGATCATGCAACGATTTTTTCATATAGGAATAATATTTGTGGACAAAATGACAAGTGGTGAATTTTGTGACTCAATGGCCATCCGAATTGATCCATTTGGCTGGGAGAGCGCCGTTGACCCCCCTTTCCCTCTGTAAACATCAGCCCGTTTCCCTTCTTTTTTCCGCACAAAAACCTCGTCATCTTACCTTTTTGCGCAACTTGCCACCACCACAAACCAGAAAAAGCAAAAGTGTTGGGAAATTTGTCGAAATTCATGTTGTGTGTCAATGATTTGGTAACAAAATATAGACTGGCCAGACGTCAAACCGAGAAAAACAATCTTTTCAATTTGAGGTGTTAGCTAATATTTTTAAAGAATCGCAAACTTTGTTAGCAAAAAACTCTTTAGTGAAGAAGTATTTTTGAAGAGCATCGATAGTAAATAACCGGCTATTGTGACTTGATCTTTCAGAGTCTTTAGAACTTCAGTAACTATAATAGCATGAGTCACTTTGGTAGTTTTTTCTTCAAAGTTCTGACTTTCAGAGATGATTGACGATTCGACTAGTGGTGGAGCGTGGAATGAAGGAAACTCGTCAAACGATTCACACAATAAAATGCCCGCTGGAGCTCTTACCGGTCAGTGGTGTAAAAAAGGTGTAAAAACTTTGCAATTATGCAACCTAGCTTCTGAATATCACTCTAAAGATCATCGCCATATTGTATTTCCTGTATATCCGTCAACCAAAAAGTTTTAGTATTGGTAATAGCGGCTGTAGCGATCACCTCCGTTATCGTAACTCTTGTGTGCATGTTGGCGAACAGTCGACGAACGCGCCGAACGCAGACACGAATACAACAGGTTGGCAAAATGGAAAAACTATATCAAGTCTAGCTACAAGCCTAATATATGATCTTTAGTCAACATGCCAATCTCAAAATCCGTCTACCGTTCTCCAAGCACCAACAGTTGTCGTAGTGGATCGAGTATCGAATCTCCCACCCCCATTGCCTCCGATATACACAAGAGATGTGAGTTAAATAGCAAAATATTACATGATATGACAAGTTATATTAGCTAAAACAATTGAAATCAAATTTCAGACGCAAGGCCCAAAATATTTCGATGCTCCTCCCTCGTATGACGAGGCTGTTAACACACCAATTCACTCACCGATCACTCCCTCGCCGAGAGATCAAATTCCGGTAAGTGATTGATGTCGTGATTCGAATTCAAAGAGGAAAACTCTCCCGTAATATCAAACTCCGGGAATACGCTTGCTAAAGCATATGTTTAAACAAACCCTCTTATCAGAGCCTTCCTTTCGAAATGTTTGCCTTGTAATGAGAAAGTCTCCGATTTTTCGGTTTGAGAGAACTCTGAGTGAAAGGCCGCATTGAAAATTCTTGTAATGATATTTGAAAAGGGCAAAAGGGGAGGAATTCTATTTGATCGATCAAACAGTTCAGCCAGAAACCGATTAACAAAATACAACTTAACAAAACAACAATTCTCATTCTTGTTGGACTAACGAATAGCATTTCCAGGACACAACTCCATCCACAGTCACTTCAGTTCAAGACACCAACTCTCTCAGACCACGAGCCAGGTTTGAAAATACCATAAAGCTAATGAAAATTTACGATTTCAGACTAGAAAATGGTCCGACGGAGATTCACATGACCGAAATTGAGTTATCTTGATAAGTTTCAAAAACAGTTTCTCTTTAGCAACAGATATTGTTTTATTTACTATGAAATGGTCATAATCTTTCTATTCTGAATTTTGTGTTACGGGTTGAATAAAGTTTTGCCATTTAGGGAGAGTTTTTTATTTGAACATACACATAACCAAAATCAATATACCTTCAGAAATATTGCGCAAAGCAAGTTTTGGGCAACAACGTGCATAAATTATTCGAGAAACTGTCATAATTCTTTGTTGATAAGCTCAAAAACACAAGGGAAACAATATAAAGTTTTGATCTGAATTGGAGCAGCGAAATCCCAGTGACTAGTTTATGGAACATGTTGAAATCTATGCTATTGCTGGATTATGAAATTTGGAAAAGGTCATGAAGTGTCTAAAGAAAATCTACAACACGTACCAGTCAGCTCAAATATTGTGCAATCTCGAGAAAAGCTTTTCTAGAGAAGATACGTTTCCCTCACTTCTCCGATGATTCCGACGGCTTTGTGGAGAGTCTGAAATATTGCTCTTTTAAGTAAAAACGATATGTCAATGTTAGAACTGAAGCAGCTTTGTCATTGTGCTTTGTTTTTCCCATCATTCTTGACGTTTTCCTACCTCGAGCATTATTGCAGTGTCCTTGCGCTTCTGAGCCATAAATTTATTCTCGCAAAGTAGTTCGTCCAATGTTGACGGATCGTAGAGAGTTCGCACCAACTCTGATTGCAAGTTCTCCTAAAAAATTTGACTTGTAGGAAAGGATATGAAAAATTACCCGAACAAAGTTGACCATGTTGTGCATAATGGCTTTCGGCACCGAATCCTGGACATTCTTACGAACAATGAAGAAGTAGCTCTTTATCAAGCGTTCTAAAATGGATGGGTTAAAAGCAGCTAAAATGGACGCATCAAGCTTACCAATAATTTCGCAATCTCTTTGTTCTTTTGAAGTCAATTTGCGAGCTGGAGGCTTTTCAGGAACTTCAGGCAAAAAGTTTACAGGACGACGGGGTGTACCTGCTAAAATCACTGTTCCTTAATAGCTTTCCCGTAGTTAACTCACGTTGTGATGGATCAACAGCTTGAGGTCGTTGTTGAGAGTTTCCTCCAAACAATTGCGTGAAGATGCCACTGCGCTGAGCGGCATGTTGTGGGATTTGTGTCTGGGCAAGCTGTTGGGCTAACTGAAAGATAAGGTTGACTGATTTAGGGTTTATCATTTCATGTCGTTTACATTTGTCACAAAAATCTACCTGTAAATCATCTCGTGTACGTTGTTGTTGGTTTTGTGCCGGCTCTGCGTGTCCATTGAACTAAATGAGGAAATAAAAAACGGACATAAAGTTCTCCGGTGTTTCTAACTCAATATTCCCTAAAAAGACTGCCCCGCATGTGTTAAGAAATGGGTTGCATTCAAAAAAGGAGGACAATTCAAGCAAAAACAAGTTCATTCACAACACTGACCTCATACACAAGATTGACATTCGCAAAGTGAACCGAGGGGACATCGCGACGATTTGCTCCGGGAACACTCGGCAATTCGTATGGAGGACGTTGTGGTCTTGCTTGAGGCGATACTGTGTTAGGAGGTTGATTCAGTGATTCAGCTCGAGCCCGCACCGAAAATTCCATCATTCGCTTAGAAACAAGAATCAAACAAGAAGTATAACGCGTACTTTGTGCAACAATCAAAAAAACTACCGACTTGCGGCCACGGAAAATGAGTGTTTTAAGAGTGTCAAAGAGGCACACGCGGGGCAGTTTGTGAAAGTAAGAAAGGTTTTGTTGTAGATACAATCTAGATACAAAAGACGTTTTGAGAATGAGGGGATTTAGGAAAGCTTTCAACGAACTTTAGTCCATACCTAGCATAGGCAAACGTTTATTGAAATAGTGCTTGTTATAGAAATTTGCATGCAAAATTAAACAGCAAGCATTTACAATTTAGCAGTTAATCTTAGGGTTATTGTTGTATTTGGATTTACATCTAAAATTACCTGAGACTCATGAACGCTCGCTGCTCGATCCACCGCCGCATTTCGTTGTTTGACCCGGGCTTCACGTTCGGCCACGTTGTCGACGAATGAATCCTGAATTCAAAGAATGAATTGTATCTTGTAGCATTTGTTTCTTTCAGAACAGTACAATATGTCTTTTCTTTTTTGTATTGCCCAATTAATTAATACACACATTTACGCGATCAACAAAAGTCCATTGATCTCGCTCATAAATTCTCATCCCCGCATGCAATTCTGCACTTTGAATGGGCGTAGGGTGCTGAAGCGATGAAGAGCGATCGACATCCTCAAAATGCACAACGAAATAATCCAGGTTTAAGGAACAAATAGTGCTGGGTATGCTTAGTGGTATCATGATGCTATGTACAAATAAAGTTGCATCATGATCGGAGATATGGTGATTAGACTTGACTATCGAGAGACTATGGACATCGAAATCTCGATAAGTTTTCCAAAATCTTTCAAAATCGTAAAACCCAGGTTTGTGGTATCGACTGAATCGTATTCAGCGCATCGCATTACCCCGAAATAAGCCTCAGTTAAAAGGATTTGACGGAGAATCAACTAACATTTTACCATTACCGATAAGCTTATCGAGATCTCGATATCGATAAGCCTCGATAGTCGTCTAATGGTGATCGATCGATCGATGCGAAATCTTTACGGGAAAACACACGGTGCGCTTCAAAACACTGGACCAAAAAAAGCTGTGTTACCTTAATTAACGTAACAAGATTAGCGTCGGTGAATTCGGGATGTCGTGTGTTTATGTAGGCCAACTCGATTGCCACCAAACTTTCGACCTGAAATTGCTGATAATTGTTGTTGCCTAGTCGAAAATATACCAGCGAATTTGTCTGTTTCAATCGACTCTTCAATACATTTGCCACCACATCTTTGATTCTTTCAAATAAATGAGGGAAACGAGCCATCTCCTGCTAAATTTTTTAACGATTAGCAGTACAGATATACAGTATTTCCACCTGTATCTCATTTCCGCAATGTTGCACGATTCGTTGCAGTTCTTCATGGACAAGGTCAACACATCTAAAGAAATTTCTGAAATTTTCAAGAGTTACAAGCTTACCGCAAGGAGGGTTCTTCAAGACGCTGTATTTGACGCTTAACAAGAAGCTCAAAGGCCACTTCTGGCACGAAAAGTGCTGGTCTTGGGCCCTAAAGGTTGGAAATACATTGTGTATCATAGCAAAGCTTACAGTTGCATTCCTGATTGCAGTAAGAATATCAAGCGTATCGAGGTGTTCCAGTGGATCGATTCCTTCAAGCGTTTTTGCTAACGTTTCATGGAAGATGTAACAAATGCGAGCACCACCACACCTAAATGCACTAAACTTCTGAAAATTGAGCTAGCACTCACAATTCTTGTGTTTCAATGTTACGAGCGGTTCCTTCGATTGTTGTTGTGTAGGCTGTTGAAAACCTGTTACAGAAAACACAGTTAGTTGGTCAACTCTAGTTTGTAATAGAGTGTCTTCTTCGTGATTAAATAATTAATTGAATAAATTTGCATAAACAAATTTTTAATTGATTAAAGGTCAATTAATGTGTCATCTAAACAAATTGGTGCATGTGCAAATTACATGAGCCGAATATCTTTTACGCGTGAATCGCACTTTATAATGAGCGCATTAACGTTTTTTCACTTTAACTATTTAGTAAGTTTTTCTTTAGTAACGCTTTAGAAAGCGCATTAATCACGAGGAAGACACTCTAGTTTGTAACCAGCCTTGTAATAATTTGCAGAAGGGTTCGATTTTTATCTTCAACCGGTTCTCCGTAACTGTTTAGCAAAGTGACACATTGTCCCATCAGAACATTCACTCGATTCTTCAGCGATGGCAGACATTCTCGAATGTGATGCATCAGCAACTGAAAGATGACAGTGGTTATATCTTTATCTAGGGATTTTTCTGTTTTAGAAACCTACCCGATTCAGCGTCTTTGCCAAATAGCGGGTGCCTTGCCGTGTTGCAAGCGTTGGGTACTTGCGAACCAAATATCCTTCTTCATCTCTCAACGCCTCGTCGATAGGCTTCTTGTTTTTAATGTCAGCCTGAACTTTTGAACGATAATGCAATTTGCCTCTCCACTACCTGTGATCGATTCACAACACCGATGATCCCTAGTTTGACTTGTACGAGTTGTCCAGTCAACACATCCAGCGCATCCGTGCCATGGTCCATCAAATCCAATTTTGTCAGCACCGCCAATGTTCGAGCACCTTGAACAAAAATGTTATAAAAAATTGTTATAAAAATGAATTGTGGTATTTGTACCTTCTGGATCAACATCTCTTGCCATTTTGAGTGGCTCTGATGTCGCAAAATCCTGATTCGCAGGAGTGACGGCCAAAATGATTGAGTTGGGATTTGTGATGTAATGCATGATCATTTCTCGAATTTGTTCCTAAATGTTCATTGGTTTCTTTGAATTGACATTTGTACTACGAACCTCGATATTTGTTGGCTGATCCCCTACAGGCAATTTCGTCATTCCGGGTAAATCGACCAATGTCAGATTGACAACCCGATGGGAAAAAATCTTTAGGGAAATTGGTGCAGCGGCGATACCCTAAAAAGTTTTGATGAAATAAACGACTAATAATTGACCGTTTTTCAAATTTCTCTGACTTGAACAGCGCTCACCTTGTTACTTCCTGTGAGACGATCTGTTTCGTCTTCAATTTCTTTTCTAACCAACTCAAAATCCTCGAAAATTTTTTCTCCTGTGTGCTCGAAACGAGCCCAATCATCTGAAATACGAATAAAACATAGAAATCAAAAAATATGAGACCTTTCCGTCCTTGTCGAGTTTCCCTTTCATTTAGTGGCACATGGCAGAGCTGCAAAAGGAGCGGCCTTCGGGTGACTATGCCAACACCTCTGGGCAGAAAATCACGTCCAACGACCGCCTCGATCACGGAGCTTTTGCCGGCACTCTAAGTTTCAACTTCATACGTATCCTCTTAGGTAAACTAACCTGTGATCCAACGACGACAATTTGCGGCAGTTGAATCTCAGCTTCTCGTGCTCCGACAGCCGCGAAAACATCTTGCAATTTATTTATTGTCGGAATCAACGACTCCATCTGAAATCGAAAATTTTATAATCTAATGAGCAAGCAAGAAAATGAAGAAATTTTGTTGAATAACACATTTATACCAGAGAAAAGAAAAGATAAAGTGATAGATTTCACAATTTTCTTGACGCAACAAAATTTGAACCACGGGGGACTATACCACAGCGGAGATATCTTTGACAAAGCGAGAAAGAGAAAAGAGAGCGGAAGAGGACACTGTGCGAGTGTAAAGAGGAGTGAAGGTTGGCTTGAGTATTGGAAGAAATCTACGTGGGTAATTGAGAGAGCAGGTGTGTTGAATATGAAGATAGTACGCACACTGCTTTAGTTGGATAACTACAGCGCGTTAGTTAGTAACCATTTAACCTTACTCAATACCTTTTTACTCACCAATCTTTTTTCGAAAATAATTAGACACCAAACCCAAGAAAAAAAATTCCAAGATCGCGCCGATTTGATTTTGTGTGTTTTAGTTGAAAGAGAATCGGTTAAGTTAAGTTTATGCGGCACGTACAAAAAGATACGAAGACAATAGAATAGAAGGGAGCCGAGAGAAACGAAACAAAACCATTTTAGAAATTTAAACAGGAAACATGGGTGGAACAATATAACGAGAAGGGAATGTAGGGAGACAGGTAACCTTAAAACGCGCTACAAAAATGAAGTTTTCACAGAAGAGGGAAGAAAATGTAAGCGGGAGTTGGTATAAAAAATCGGACAACATCCGCAATTCCACAAGGAAATCGAGGATAAACTTGAAAAGAATGGCAAAAGGGGAATTTTGTGCGGGGTACGGTAGTGCATTCATGCTTTAGAAAGCGGATTGTGCCGCTTTCACGCCAGTTCCTTCAAACCACACGTAAATTGGAATCTAACTCGTTGAATGATCAGGTTTTTATGGGTTATGCCCGCGTGATAATTATTTATAGCCAAAATGCGGGAAAAATGGCTCAAGTTCAGCACAAATTAGAGATTTTGCTTGTAGATACAACAAACGAACCCCGCCAATCGCTTCAGTCCATTTTGGCGCAAAAGCGCACAGAACAGGACCCGTGAAATTGTGAAATAGCTTTAAGAGTAGGTGCAAACAAGAACCATGAATAATCGATGATTACAGACTTTTGTATCCATCTTAGTCTTTGTTAGTGTATGATAAATTGAGAAGGTGTAATGAAGTTGTGCTGTGTTCTGGGCATTATACAGTGCACAAGTACCTTTGTATTCATTTTTGATCCTTCTTCAAGAAAACTTCTATAAACCCTAAAAGTTTCCCAATTGCGTAACACAGTTTTCGGCTCATCAATGCATTGTGTTCTCGAATTTCGACCCCTTCGTAGGAGTGAGGTTATTGCGCGTATCTCTTTTCTCTCCCATTCCTTGAATGGCACTCAAGAATTTTCGCTTTCATTCTTGTCTGCAGCAAAAGAAAAACAAAAGTATGTGTCATTTTCGGTTAGTTCTAGAAATAAATTTAAATATTTCATTCTATATGCCTAAAACCCTAAAACCTTTAAACCAAAAACTCAATGTCAGAAATTTCCAAAAATGGGAGGGGGAAATCACCATCTAGCTTGAATTTCTAGGAAAATCAGCCAAAGTACCTTTCCAGGTTCACCGTTTAACCCGTAGAACAAAAAGAAAACAGTCTAATGAAAACTGTAACTGCAATTAAATGAGTCATTTCCCCTCGATCATTCTCCACTTCTCCATCATCTCAAGTGCGTTGTCTTTCCAGTGTTCATCCCCCGTGTGACACACACCATTCGCATTCATTTGTTGTGACACTTTTCCCCCTCTCTTTCTCTCTCCCAATCACTCTTTTATCAATTCTATCTATGGAAGAGAACAGGCTAGCTTTTTTTCTCGTTTTCCCTCCTCTCGCAGACAACTTTTATCATCTTCACTTTTTTCACCGATCGCTCCCTGTTTTTACCCCAGTTTTTCCCAATCTCCAATCATTTTTTAGCACTTAATATCAGTGTTTAAAAAAGTTAGCTTTTTTTTCTTACAGTAATTTCGACGGAAAGTCAATCAACGAAGGTTTTTGCGGAAAAATTTCCAGTAGACCTTGTGACCAAATGGCCCTTTTCTCTTTTTCTCTTTTCTTTTGGGTCCTTTTCCTTTCATTTTCTCTCGTCGTTCTCTTGTATCGACTTGTAGTTTGTATTCGAAATGCCCCAAGGCAGCTGCTTTCTATTTTTAACCTTCTTGCACTCTTTTAAATTTTAAAAACTTAGACCTTCTCTTAAGAAACTTATTACTGCGCTATAGCTGTTCTCAGTGATCGAAGTTATACATACTTGTTATAACAGTGATGGGTTTGGATAGGTGTTTAGATCTATTTTATTCCTTTATCCATCAACTCACCCATTTTGATTTGAGCACTTTATTTTCGATTTCAGAGATGTTGCTGAAATTTCTTCTGCCCTGTCTACTTTTCGTATTTTCCAAAGAAGTTCTCGGAGCACATGGTGAGCACAAAATTGATTTTAAATGATTAAAAACAAAAGAATGATTTCCCCCAACAAATATTCGTTTTAGAATGTGTCTGGATCACGGGCCAGGTCAACTGTCAACATGATCCATCAAAAAATCTCAATGTTGAGGTAATTTATGAATCTTTTGGAATTTGTGAAATCCTTCACTGTATCTACAAAATCAAACTTTGAAAAGGCTTATCTTATGGATAACCCAACTCAATTCACCTTGCATCAATTTCAGATCAGGGTCTATGATCGAGATTCGACATTTTTCCTCCTCAAGCTGATGGATCCCGATGATTTGATGGGGTGAGCAAATAAATAAACAAGCTTTTAAGGTAATGACAAAAATTACATTACCCTTGTTCAACCCCTAACTGTTTTAAATTTGCCGCTTTGTCAAAAATATTCCAGAATTCTGATGTGGGTGATTCGTTTCCGTTCCACCAAGTCGGGGACAGTTCATTTCAATCATTTTCATTGAGGGCATTCCCCGCGAATTCCAGATAGTTCCGCCACTGAATAAATAGAAATCACCAAAAAGGGGAAAAGGAAATTGAGTCGGTTGAGAAGGGGGAATAATCGAGCACTCTTCGCCAAAAATTCTCTTTTCCACACATTTCTCTTTTTCTCAAAGTCTCTTTCCTTAAAATGGAGATGATTTTTCTTGTCCATCCATGTGTAAATCTTTCTGATGTTCAATCGTCGGGGTTTTGCATCAGATCGACGGTTCCATATATTGACTCACGTCCGTTAAAAAAAAAGGAAACACGGACCTTTGCCAACTTGAACTACAGTGGTCCACAAAAGTAATGCCCCATTGCCATCCAACAGTATGTTTTGTAAGGAAATCTTGCAAAATTGACATTTCAGAAAAAGAGTAGGGTATTTTTATCTACCTATAAGACTCTAGTTTTCAAGAATATAAGATTTATCCCTATACATTGCATACAAATTAAAGTATAAAACAAAACCAATAAGTTACTTGAAAATTAGCTCCACAAAAGTAATGCCCCATTTGCAAAGAATTAACACCATTTTTTTAAATCAATACTTGGTTGGTCCTCCTTTTGCTTTTATTACTTCATTGAGTCGATCCGGCATGGAATCCACGAGATTCTTCAAAAGACTTTGGGGGATGGTGGCCCAGAGACGTTGAATGTGAACCCATAAGGCAGCCTTCGAATCGAATTTCTTTCCCTTGAGTCGCTCGATCAATGGGGCATTACTTTTGTGGACCACTGTATTATAGTGAATAAGTCTTTTCGTTTCTCTTTGGACTTCCGTTAAAAATCAACAAATGCAGTAATGAAACTACGGTTTGTTTCATTAGAAAATCCAATTGTTTTTCTGCAAAATAACATTAAAACAGGTTTTAAATATCTTATGCCTGGGGTTTTTTGAGAGCGTGAAGTCGGGTAGTCAAAAAGGGCGATGATGCAGCTTAGACACTTTAGCTAAGGAAATTTAGCTTTGTGTCAATAGATAAAAGATAGAACACAAAAAGTTAGGTATATAGTCAAATTTTCAGAGAAACTGATTCAGCCAATTTCTTCGTAGAGGCTTTTATAGATCCCTTCCCTAGTGACCCTAGGCTAGTGTACTCTATATTTTAAACACAAAGCGCAATAAACTCAATAAATATCTTTATGTTGCATTTATCTACTTTATTATTAACGCAATAGCTAACGATAAATTTTTTTAGAGTGACCTTTTCGAGCGAGAACGGTCTTTTCTCTTTGGACGGTTGCGGAGATGATTTTGATTGGGTTCCAGGCTTCAAGAACAAACCCGAACCATACATTCAGGTATGCAAAATAGGAAAAGGCTTTAAGTTAGCAATTTTACATAATTTTTTATACAAAAACTAGCTTTCAGATTCGTCACTACTGCAACAAGGCCGAAGGAGAGACGATCACTCTGCCTGAATTCAGCACTTTTGTCCCCAACACTTATGAGGTAAATTGCAAGAAAAAAGCACCCAAAAAAAAGGATTCCAACGTTAAGACCTGCCTCTGTTTCTCTACTAAACGTATCGAATAGCTTTTAAAATGGATTCTTTTCAGCTAGGCACGTTTCAACTCGACGGACCATCGAATGGTGCTCCCAAAGTGAATCTGAAGACGAATCGAACATGAAAACTATGTTTCGAAAGTGTTTCCCAGAAAAATGTAAATACGAATACTCTTTGTGGATTAGTGGTGTAAATGGAAATTTATGAATTCGTGGTGCTTTTCCTTTGATTTTCACTGTACGGCTTCATTCCCAATTTGGTTGTGATACACGAAATAGAACATTCTTGCCTGTAAATTTTCTCAAAATTTCGAAACTCTTTCTGATTTTTTTAAGTTCAAAAAAACATTTCATGAGTTTTTTTTCCATTATTAGTCCTATGATTAGTCAATAATTGCATGTCCCGGTCAAGCAAAAATGAAAAGAAAGAAGAAATTCTTTCTTCGAATAAACGGTTAGAATCGATTCTCTTTTTATTGCTGCATATTTGTTTTGCAATCAAAATACCGTAGTCTTATAAAAAAGGAAATTTTGGTATAGGTGGTAGTAAAAGGAAATGGCTAAGAATGTAGCAATGCTGAATTACAGTATTTTTTTTACAGTAGTTTCAAGATTTTGACGATGAATCTAGAACTTCGAGTTTGCTTTGAACTAGTTGAACTTTAACAGTAGAAGAGGCAAAAAAGAACTGGATAAAACGCTTGTTGATCATGCTTGACTATTGCGTGGGTGGGTTGGGGCAATTACCCGATTTTCCCGGGTTCAACGGGGCAACATTTGAACGGAAACTGATTCGAGCACTTTTTGTCATACCGTTGAAGCTGAAGTTGAATTTTTGAATTCCCTAATAAAACCGCCATCTCTTAAAGTAATTTTTTTACTTCAATTTTCAAGTTTTCGCTTTTAAAAGGTACGTATTTGTTTTCTGCTAGAGAACCATCGCTCACTTATTCTTTTCTAAATCGCCATCTTCTTTCTACTTAAGAAGATGGCGGTTTCACTTGATTTAGAAAAGAATAAGTGAGCAATGGTTCTCTAGCAGAAGACAAATACGTACTTTTTTTTACATTTTTAGGGGTAAACACAAAATGGGTTCCTTTTCTCCGGAAAGGGTTCTCTCACTTTTGGTGGCCGATTTCGGTGGAAAGGAGCCATGGAGTGAAATGGGAGAAAAGATCGAGAATGGAGAAAGGAAAACAGTCTCATCTCATACTCCACACGAGCGTCTTCTTGCCGCCTCATTTGCACGGATTCTACGTGGGCAACGGCCAGGTTTGGAAATTCTTACAAACTTGTAATTTCCTCTACACTCCTTCACTAATTGCGAGTGTTTCTCATTTTTCTCCAAACACTTTCTACTGTGTTCTGATACTTGCACAAGTACACCACTCTGGAATAGAGTTTTCTTATCTTTATCCACTTTTTAAAGTTTAAGTCTAAGTTTATTATTATTACAAAAATTATATAGAAACCTACCCAGATTTCCATTGATTCATTCCAGCCAGAACTCTGGAGACACCTTGTACTTTCTCGTGTTTTCTCATCCGTTTTTCATTCTGATCAATCTTCCGGGAGAGTTCCCGGAGTTAAGCTTGTAAATGTTATCGGTGGAGTTCATTTTTGCACACTGCTTCTTGTACTCTTGAAGGGGAATGGGTGTAAGGTATGCGGAGAGGCGGTCTCTTCCGGCCTATTCCCCTCACTATGTAAGGTGGCCCCGTTATCTTGTGATACCCCCGAGAATTTCCCATCTCTTTTTTTTTCTTCACCTGATCGCTCCCCTATTGTCTTCCCCCTTCTTTGATCGAATTATCTGTGAAAAAGTCTGAGAAATTCTGATCGGAAAAAGGATGACGCCAACTCCCCCCACACTCAGGCACGGTTTTCTTGATCTTGAAAATTTTCAACGCTACAGAAATTGAGTAGTCCAAACTTTTTCCTTCAGTCAGACTTCATTAGATATACAACTTTTATAGTGAAGTATCCACTTCGAATCTCCTGAAACTATACCAAAACTCCATTTACTAGCATAAAAATGAGCACTTACGGTCATTTCTCTAGTTGAGCATTGTTTATCCTATTATTTTTGATTCACTGATCTGATCATTAAAAAAATTATCTTTTCTGCCAAGAGAATGATGTCTAAAAATCGTTTTTGATTACCATCTTTTTTCTCAAAAAGAGCACTGATATCGATCTGGAAAAACGAGAGAAAAACGCGCAGTCATTTCACTTTTTGAAAATCACTGGAAGCTTATTGTTATTTTTGATTTGCTTAATTTTCGATTTAGTCAATACTTTCAAAGTATGGTCTTTAAAAAGAACTCTTGCATCATAGTGGTAATCTTTTTTCCGAAAAAGACAGGTGTTATCATAATGCAGCGTCAGCTTACGATTAATCTACTCTTTACTCGTTAGCGAAATCATTTCAGACCTACTATAAGCCTTATAAAGAATTCCAGAATTCTTTAATTAAATCTAAATGTATTTTTACACAAAAACCCCATACCCAAAAACCTTTCCCTTAAATGCCATCATTTTATTTTATTTTCAGTAAATCAAATCCATTTTCGCGTCAAGATTCTCCGAAATGAAATCCATCTCAAAAATCGCCTCTGGCAACCTTTTCCTTTTTTTTGTCTTCACCCTAAAAAAGCGGTTTTCTGGTGCTACCGGACGGCGAAAAAAAACGTGGAAACCGATTGATCTTCTTTTCTTTTTTGCCAAGGAAAGAACTTTCTCCCGATTTTTAAGAAAAATTGGTACTAGCCGGTTATATTTTCCTTTAAATGAAATAAACGAAATCAGAAGGCTAAAGGGTAATAAAGGGGAGAGGAAAGGTTTGTGGCACCAAAAAAAGTTCAGTCTTGATAAGCATAGCTCGATTCTAAATAACTTCTGTTTTAAATAAACATGCAACTAATCGTAATTTTGTACTGAAATTTTTTTTGAATACCTTAGACATGTTGAGCAGAGATCCTGTTAAGTTTCCCTGAATAAGCCGTCTCCGAACTTTCGGAAGTTTTCCTTTGTCTGCTCACTATCAGAGCAACAATTATTTTTCTTCAAATAAGACTACATGTCTTTTCACTTAATATTCCCTAAATTTTCGTCTATTTTTCTTTCTTTCTTTCTTTCGGCAATCCGGTAGATCTGGAATTGAAGGAGAGCGATACGGACAAGAGAAAATCTGCCATTGTCAATCTCCCATCCCCTCCTCCTTTAATAATTCCTTTCTCTTTTCATGCTCATTTTTTTGCATAAGCTTTTTATTATCATCAAGTTTAAATTATAGCTAAATTACTTTTTGATCATTTCTTGCTATGGTCATTTCTTGTTCAAGTTCTCAAAAGTTTATCAATCATTCTTTCTAATTGGTTATGTTCAAACTCTTTAAAATAATATAAATTCCATAAATATAGTCCTTGAAAACTAAATGAATCGATTTCAGGAATGGAAATCGGTCAACGCCGCTCATCGGACTCGTCGGACGAACGTTTGGCCGCCGTTAAACGAATGCGATTATCGGTGAGTTTACTAAAAATTCACTAGAAATCCCATTGTCTTTCTATAATTTTATATTTATTGATCTTTTAATCTCTTCTTGAGTATCACCAAATTGTAGAGTCACCATTAGAAAAAAAAACGACCCGATAAGGGGTGATCGCTTCTCACCGAAAATTTACGTCAGGGTTTAATAGACAGAAATTTCTGTTCGCATTTGTGCAAACACGCCAAAAACACATGTTTGGCCACAAACAACAAAGTAATGCAAAAAAAAAGAAGAAGATATTCAGTTAAGTGAAGTAATTAGATTGTGGACACAAGGGTACAAATGAATGGTTGATGAGAAAAGGGGAAAGAAACCTGATTTGTGAACCCTTCTCGATCACCAAAGTCCGCCAGTGAAGGGGATAATTTTGATGGTGATGGTTAATTGGAGGGAATGGGTGAAGGAGTGATCGACAAAGATTCCCCTCAGTCAACAATGTACCCATCGAACACACAAATAGGTGATTTCCATTCCGAAGAGACTCTCTGATGTCCGATCTCTTATGAGCAAATCAGGGTATTTAGGGGGGAAAGCTCAATAACAACTCATTCATACGATTTAAATAGTCTGGGAAATTTGATTTCTAAAAGTTGTAGTCAGAACGAGATGCCGTTCAGAGAAGAATTCAAAGCAGGGGGACTTTTCTGAAGCTTTGTCTCTTCGCAAGAGCCGATACTGTATACGGTAGATCTATACAGCAAATTCGGTACTGTACGGTGGCTACGGTATATTAGCCGTAGACAGAATAAGCCTTGAAGAAGTCTGTCTAATCCCAATCTATGGAAGACTTCAATATCAAGATATCGTTTCTTTACTTCCAATTGACTTGACTCTCCAATTTGTGTACCGATCTTTCCCTATCCCTTCCCCTCATTTTGATGAGCATCACAGCTTTACAGTTCCGTTTTTGCACAAATCCACAGATCAAAACGCTTGTCAACATCCTCACACAAAAGGGAAAAGCCGGGAAATGACAAGTGCGACGAGAAAAACGCACAAATATTTGTTAGGCGAAAACATCCAACAATAATGGATGTAGGATGGTGTCGGTGTGTGTGGGACAAAAGGGACAAAAGGAGAGAAAAGTTTCATCTGACTGTATAAGCGTTATAGGAAAAGACATTAAACGGGGGGGGGGGGTGAACACATAAAAAATGTTACTCTGTTACGCATACACGAGAGAGCCACGTGGGAAATGAGACTGGAGAGGGGAGGGGGGAGGGGAAGGGAGAAGCGGGGCGGGGCATTCGTGAGCCTCTCTTCGATGAGAACTGTCTCTTTTCCCCCAGAAAACATCCCCTCCCATTCTCCCTCAGAAAATCTCCATTTATCCAAAAAGTTTTCATTGCTTTTCACGTCATCATCACCCCATTCATTCTTTTGCTCCTTGACAATAGACGATGAAACCAATGGGACTCCAGGTAGAGGCACATATATTGCGATCGTTGACGGGGTGGAGGCATTCACAAACCGTTTTTTTCCGACTAGATTCCCTAAAGCTAATTCTTGTTAACAATGGTTTTCTTTAAGGTGGTTTAGTTTGTTTTATGTAGATTCTTATTTGCAAGT